AAAGCTCTAAATCTTTTTGGTCTTGTGAAAGGTTTTAGATGGCATCTGAAAGTGTCTTTGTGACTGCTGTGAGCAAAGTGTGTTGCAGAGTTGAATTTACTTCTGACTCTTTCAGTGCCTTGGTGTTCTTGGTAATTGCTCTGGGTTTTTCTTCCTTTTCCCTGAAATTCACTGAGAGTAAATGGGAGATTGAAGTTTTTTTTGTGAATATTATTTACCTAAATGTCAAGGCTGTTTTGAGAGTGTCATATTTACTTAGCTGTGCTTTAAAAAAGAAGGGGACAGGGGGAAGCAGAACTAAGATGTTTCCTCAGTGCATATTCTCTGCTTCTTTGTATGTTCAGATACATGAGCAGGGTAAGGACTTCTTGCTGTCCCTTCAGAAAGTGTTATAATACTGACACCTGAATACTGGTGGACACGTTTTGTGTTTTCAATCTGAAGATGGTGTTTTCCTGAATGCTAATGTTGGGAGAGCCTTAATATTTCCTGCTGCTCTGGTATTTCTGGTTGCTATGGAAAAAAAAACCTGTGGTCCACCTTGAGTATTTCCTCAGGCAGGATGAGCATCTGTGAGGTGTTGTGCTGAAACTGCAAAGGGCATAACCCAAAGCATTTAAGTATGAATAAAACTTGTGTTTCTTACTCTCATTTCAGCAATGATGTAGACATGGAAACAGATCACTACTCCAATGGGGTTGCTGAGACTTCATCCAATGGCTTCCTAAATGGTAGTTCTAAACATGATCACGAAATGGAAGAATGTGACACAGAAATGGGTCTGCAGTGATATTTCTTACATTTTTATTAAGTGATGGCAACAAGGTTATGTTTTTACTTGCAATGCTTCCCAACTTGAAAATTAAGGATATTAGCTGAAACCTTAATTTTTGTTGTTGTTGTTCTGCTATGATATGTAAATCTCATAACTCTGATGTAGCCAGTCTGTTGGCAGTGTGGGAGCAGGGGAAGAGGGTGACTTGTGGATAGTCAAACTAGTGTTGGTTTCTAAGGAAATACCTTTGAGAAGATGTTCCTTAGCCTGCTTTATACTCAGTCGTGCCTGTTGATGTTGCTGGCAAATGAACATTTAAGTGCCCTCTGACAGCACAGCTTAAAAGGATACCATTTACTCTGGCAGTTATGGCACACAGTCCCTGTCCAGTGATGCAGAAGGCAGTGAGACCACTTAGTGCACACAGGCTGCAATCTGGGCTGTGGTTATTACTGCCACTTGCATCTTGAGAAATAGAAGAGACCAGCCCAGCCTCTGGCGCTCTTGCAGAACTGTATTCTCAAGCAATCAGTTAACACAGATACCAATTAATAGATGATTCACATGAAGTATGAAACTCAGGACATCACTGGTAAACTTCCAGAATGCAGCGTTGCTAACAAATACCTACAAAAGCTTCACGGTTCCAAGGGCAAGTGCTGTTGCTGACCATGCAGCTTTGCTGGTAGATACTGCATAACTGTTCAAAAGCAAATAGAACTTTGTTTTGGCCATGAATAGGAGGGATGTTCTATTTCCCAGATCATTTCCCTACATTACACTCTGAAACAGTGGTAACACGGCCCTGTTTCTATGACAGGAAAACCAAAACACTACTTTACTCTCTTGCAGCCCTGTCCACGAAGGCTGTGACAGATGCAAAGTGGCTGCATGGGGAGAAGAGTGCTTTCTTTCCAGTGTTGACCTTTTCTCTGCCTTTGGGCCACAAACAGCACTGCTTGAAGACTTGAGGGTGCTTCAGCTTTCTAAAAAGAGACGTGGCTCCTCAGGCTGCTTTGTTGACATCATGCAGTTTGAGAAATTTGATGCAGCTTTTTGAAGTGTTTGCATATTCTCTTTAGTGCTGTGTATGTCATACAAAGTAGGCAGATTTTTTCCAGAGCTGATACATTTCTGAGAAAAAAAAAGTGTAGTGTTGATTTTATTTTTAAAACCATGTTTGAAATTGAGGTGAAAATATATCACTACATAGCAATGCTGAAATGGGAAGGATGAATGGTTTGGTGATCTGTACATCAAAATCTGGTTTAAAACCTTGATTCTATTGATGAAAAATGGCAAGGAAGGGATGAATTCTTTAGTTAGAATGTGTAGCTGTAAATTTAAGGAAGGCAATGCTTTCACAGAAGCTAAAGGATATTTTACTGCTAAAATATTGCATTAATACATACTTAAAACTAAGTAGTATTTTGGAATACTGTACAAAATAGTGAAGAAGGCAGTTGTAACATTCCGTGGATGACAAAATAAGCCTGAAATGTCCAAATTACGAAGCTAGTGTATTCTGCAAGGACTGTGTACATTCATAACAGTAGTATGAAAGCAGTCCATTGGAGGATTTCTGGGAAGTTTTGGTTCTGTTGTGTAGGTTGTTTTTTTTTCTACTCTGATCTAGTGGTTCAGGATTTGGCATATCTTTTTAAGTGCAGTGCTGAAGAATTAATAAGATAGCTAGAAATGCATGGTGTTTGTTTTTTTAATTGGTGTTTTTATAAAATTTTAGGGTAAAACTCAGTTTGTAATCTAGTTAAAATAAACCACTGCAACATTAAGAGCACAGGCAGGCAGCCTTTGCAGCTGGCTGAATCCTCTTAAGTTAACGTTAAGGAACTGCTTTAACAGAGTGCATTGTGCTGGGATTTGTGACCTTCTGTGCTTCCCTCCTGAGAAGGCAGATGACTGAAGTGAAATCAGTGCTTTCCCCAGATCCATAGATTTTTATTTTCACTCTGGTGGTGGTGATGATGACGATATCGTTTTTGCAGAAGTAGATTCAAGTCAGTTAAGGCGTCAACTGTGTGGTGGCAGCCAAGCAGCTATTGAAAGAATGATCCATTTTGGAAGAGAATTGCAAGCGATGAGTGAACAACTAAGAAGAGAATGTGGCAAAAACACAGCAAATAAGAAAATGCTCAAGGTACGCTTTGTCTTGGAATTGCTGCTAAGGGGAACAACTGCACTGCTCACCTGAAGCTTCTCACAGCGTGCTGCGTGACACTGTTTTGCTTAAACTTGTGTGATTTCACTGTGATTTCTTTTGGTCTTAGAGTATTCCAGTCAGCTGTGGTGTAGTACCATCCTCCTATCTTGTCCATGTAGCAAATTCAGGGAGAAAATAACTTCGTACTGTAATACAGTTAAAAGCAGAGATAGAGTCCCCATATCTCACTTCTAACCATGTAGCTTGGTCACTGGAATCATAGGTACTATTTCTAGCAAGAATTGATAGAGGCCAGAAACGTGCTCTGTGTGCAAGTAGTTCGCTGTGTATTGAGACTGCTCTGAGTCATGAGTCAAAATATGTTAGGAAAAGGTCCCAGTTCTCACTAGTGTAATGCAGCTGTGATGTAATAATCTTCCTGCAGGATGCATTCAGTTTACTTGCATATTCAGATCCGTGGAGCAGCCCTGTTGGAAATCAGCTTGACCCAATTCAGAGAGAACCTGTGTGCTCTGTACTCAATAGTGCAATACTAGGTAAGACTTGGTGGGTTTTGCACATCTGTGCCTTTCAGGGAAGCAGGGTGGCACACTGCTGCTCACTGTGCACTGTTTGCCGGGTCTGGCACTGAGGTGGCTGAGTGATGAACAAAGCTTACTGTTACTGAATGTCCTGTGAGCAGACGTGAGTTTTGGGGGTGTGTAAATGCACTACTTACATGTTTTTATTGGTTCAAAGCAAAAAATGGCTTGCTCAGCAATAGAGCTCTGCAGAGAATTTCAAAGCGTGCCTTCGTTGCTCCTGCTCTATTTTGCCATGAGAGTAAGCTTTGGAAGGAAGTACGTGGATTTTGAGTTTCTAGTACAAGAAAATAATGAAACCAAATGAGATATTTTAACTGCTGCTGTTAATCTTCCAGAGACTCACAATCTGCCAAAGCAACCACCGCTTGCCCTGGCAATGGGACAAGCATCACAGTGTCTGGGATTGATGGCTCGATCGGGAATTGGATCCTGTGCTTTTGCCACAGTGGAAGACTACCTACACTAGCTATGCATTTGAAGATCTGTGAAATGGTGTGGTGTATTCACTATGGAAAGTAGACCAGCTCTGCTGACTGGAATTTGGAATTTTAATTATGTACTAAGGACAAGTCTGTCGCTTTATGTTGCTTCCTAGTTTACAGCATGATGCAAATGATTTCTAACTTAGTGTTAGAGAATTTCCATCTTTAAGCCTCTTAGACAACTAAGAGTGGAAAATATCACTGATAACGTCAGACATCCAAATTGACGAATACAAATCCTCTCAACGATTGTCTAAAACAAACCAAAAATCCTGCTGCCTTGTGGTGGGACAGAAGAGCAGAAATGTGGATGTGTTAGCATGTGGGTGATGTACATGTCAAGCAGGATGACTTGCCAACCGCCACCCCCATTGTTACATAGTTCAATCAGTGTAATTTGCAAAATGCATAAACACCTGATGGTTTGGATATAGTGTTGATGGGAAGAAATGATATTTTTTAATGTGTACTGTAAAACTTGAATTACTCAGGAGCTGAGTGAATATGTTTGTTGCTACTTACAATCCCAACCTGTTGATCTTAGTAGTTTTTGTTTTAACATGGTCTTTTCAAACTTTGTTTCCTTGTTTAACTACAGACAGCTTCTGTTGTGTAGACTCACCAGTTTAACTGTTGTATTATAACAGTATTACATGTCAACACAGTGTGGTTATGACCTATTTATATAAAAACCAAATATTTAGTCAATTTACAGTCTTAATTTAATCTTTGTACACCTTGCATTTTTAAAAGTGCTTAAATAGTACTATATTGCAATAAAATGTAGTGATATCATAATTAACCAGTCATTAAAAACTTACTTCTACATACGTAGTAGCATGGGCTTGTATGCTACATTTTCTTTGTTCTAGTTTTATCCTAGAACGATGGTTCACTGCTGGATCCTACAATACCACCTCCCTTGTCAGAGCTGCTGAAATAATAGATGGTTTTAGGGAGCACAGCATCCACAAGAGTAAATATGAAATCATTCATCTTTATTCTTTGCAGTTGAGTTGCCTCATGGAACAATGTCCAGCTCTGTGAGATGGACTTATCCTTCAGGGGCACTTATATGCCATCACGGCTGTGGCCCAGCAGTGTGTTAGCTTCCCTAACAACTTCTGCCAGGGGAGGTAAGAATGCAGAGGTCAACCAGGACCACTTTGAGAAACTGTCCGTTGCCTGAAGATGAAAGAGAGTAGTAATGATGGAGAAGGGGGTGGACAGGTGACAGCTGTTCACCTGTTATGTGTAGGTGATGAGAAATGAACTCTCAGTACATGTCCGTTGATAGCATCTTCTCAAAAAGCTGTCTTCAAAGAGTACTTGTCACCTTTCTTGCGACCCAGTATTTTGTAAACCTTGTTGCTCTTTGCTTTTTTTCAAGCCCTTAAACAAAACAAAAACAAACCAGTAAGCCTGTAAGCATTTTCTTAGCTCAGTTGTGTAACTAGCAGCAATGCGTTCCATTACTGCAGTGTTTCAAGCCTGGGCAGAACAACAAAAAGGAAAGCTGATAACTTCAGTCATATTTCATATAGAACAAGGCTTCCACTGGCACATGCTGGTACCACTGGCCAGCCTCCTGCAGGATGGGGTGCAGTAGTGCTTTCATTTTTAACGCATAAGTGGAAAAGCAGATTTACATCTAATCTTTTTTGACCATAGAATCAAGCTAGTTTGGAAGGAGGCAAGGCAAGGTTACCACCCACCAGCTCAGGCTGCCCAGGGTCCCATGCGACCTGGCCTTGAACAATCCAGAGATGGGCATCCACAGGTTTGGGCAGCCTATGCCAGTGCCTCACCACACTGAGCAAATAATCTTTTCTGTATTATTTAGTCTAAATTTCATCTTGTCTTACTTTAAAGCCATCTTCCCTTGTCCTATCACTGCAGTGGGATACCAGACCTATGATACACACAGAATCTGTGACTGAGGAGCAGTGTAGGGCTAGAACTGATGAAGTCTGTTTTCATTCATTTTTTTTTAACATCACTTTATAATAGAGCAAAAGATACAACTTCCATCATCTGCTCTCCTCTTGGTATACCTGCTTTGAGATCTTACATAGCCTGAGCTGCCAAAGTCACTTCTGATCTATAAACCTGATCTATAAACAGTTAGTAAAATATCTAGTTTAGGAAGTGAACACAGCTCTGGATCAAGATACTGTTCAAAACTGTGTAAAAAATGAGCTAACACATTATTCCATATTCTCCCCAGCAAGTATTTACTATGCATCCTGCTCTGCTCCCTTACATGTTCTTCCCCTGAGTCAAATGCAAACTAAAGCCCTGTAACATATAGAAAAGCATAAAAAAAAAAATAAACACTAGTTTAGGCATATATGCATGAAATAGTACCAACTTTTTCTCTTTTACTTACCCCAAGATTTGTCCACAAACTGAACTGCAGCTTTCTTAACTGAGTCTCTCTTGTTTGCAATGGAAAAAAATTCATTTGCTGTAATGAGATGAATATTAATTATGAAGATTAACACAGACAAATCCAGATGCAGACCTAAGGAAAACTGCCTACCACTTGTTCGGTTGGTGCCCGGGCCATAGAGCTGACTGTGTATGAAGTCTTTTGCTGTCTGTTGGTGGAGGCCTGTTAAGTTCTCATCTTTCAAGTGCACAGCAAAATAGTTTCCTTTTGACCTAGTTAGAGATGAAAATCCATGGCATAGTTACAGAACCCAAAACAACGCATGCTAGTAAATATTTTGATATTTGAAATGTCTACTGGTTTGATGATCAGCCAAGAGCTGAAGCATTTGCCCCAACTGGTGAGAGTCTTAAACTCCTCTTAGCAGATGCTAGTGCTACCTTCCCACACACAATCATTGTGATGAGGGCAGAAGCACAGTGAAGGAGATTTAAGTCACATACACTTGTTTCAATTAGAGCAAAAGCAGGGCTGGCATCAAGCAGAAAACAGATCCTGGAGATCCAGCTGCAAGCTTCTCCCTCAAGCTGGAGGAAACAGTGCTGCAGCACTGAGCTGATGCCCCACGTCTTCTGCTCCTGCCATACCTGGTGCCTCCTGCTTTGTCTTTCTTGACCTGTCCTGGGATGTGGTCTTCACTCTGTTTTGCAGATCCCCCTTTAGGATGTTTATCTAAGGAAAATTTAACAGAAAAAAATAATTCCAAAAACACAATCTAGAACTGTAAGTAAGAGAAACAGAAATGAAGCAACACAAGCTCTGAACAAGCATCCATCTTTAACTCCAAAAAGCACTTTCCAGCTGCTCTGATTTGTAAAAACTAGCAGTGCTGCTCTCAAAGGAGGGCAGTTGAAGAGGAAGGCCTAAGTCTCAGGGGAGCCCTCCAAAAGCTGCAGTGCTTTGCTGTTCCTTGCCATCAGTCCCAAACAGATGGGATTCAATACAGGACAAAAAATCAGTGCAATAGAACAGCCGTGCACTGTTGGAAAGGGGGGGGTCCCATCCCACCTTTATTCTCTGCTAACTGAGCCGTGGAAATGGAGCGTTCAAAGTACCTGGTGCAGCCGCGGGGCTCGGCTCGTCTGCTCTGCGAGGGAAGGGGAAAGCACGTTACAGCCACAGCCCGGCTTTGCGCAGCCAAGGCCTCCCGAAAGCCACCCGTGGTCTCCCGCCCTCCATCCTCACCGTGCAAGCGGCGCGGCGGCCAGCTCCTGCAGCAGGGCCTCGGGCAGCAGCTTCCTTCTCTACGGAAAAACGGCGGTGAGGGCGCGGGGCCCGGGGCCCGGCCGGCCCGGCTCGGGGCGGGCTGCGGGCCGACCGCGGTACCTTCTGCTCCGTGAACAGCTCCTGTCGCCGCCGCCGCTTCTCCTTCAGCAGCTCCCGGTGCCTGCGGGGGGTGCCTGCCGTGAGCGCAGCGTTGGGCGCGAGGGAGAGCGGAAAGGGGAGAGGGGACGCCGTACCTGCGAGCCGCCTCCCCCGCCAGCTTCCGCTCGGCCTCGGCCTCCGCCCTCGCCGTGCCGAAAGACAGCTCCTCGGGGGCCTCGTCATCCTCCGACGAGGGCGGCGTGGCGGCCGGGCCCACGGGGGCCGCCTCCTCCTCCTGCCGCCGCCGCCGCCGCACCATGGCCACGCTCCTCGCCCGGCCTCAGCGCGACCCGGAAGCGCTCTGCCGACTTCCGGAATCAGTTCGCCCACTTCCGGAAGCGCTCCGCCGACTTCCGGCCTCGCCCCCTTAGCTCCCGGCCGTTCGCAACCGCCGCCCCCAGCGCTGGCACTCAGACGCGGACACGGGAGCGGCCGGCTGCAGGCTTTATTGGCGCGATCGGGGCCCGCCGCCTCGCCCCGCCCCGCCCCCGCCCCGCCTCAGGCGATGATCTCGGACTCGTGCCGGGCCAGCGCAGGCGGCAGCGTGGTCCCGCAGGGGCCCTGGAAGTGGAACCTGGAAGGAGAGAGAGTGTGAAGGGCGGGGAGCGGGAGGGGGCCAAAACGGTAGGGGAGGTTCGCTTTTCTCTAGGCAGTGTAGCCATTGAGAACAGGGCAGTGACGATGGAGGGGGCCTTACCTGAACCTGTCTGTAGCAGGAGTGGCTTCCATGTTGAATTCCGCCACCGGCACTCCTCTGGAGGACACCTGGGGGGCGAACATGGCAGCAGGGTACACCACGGAGGAGGTTCCCACCTGCAAAAAGCCAGCAAATGGTAAAGCAGGTAAAGACCTGACAGAAAAGGAAAATAACATCCAGAGCTGCGTTTTGTGTCGCTGTGAATTGAGGTGGCACACACATCAGGATTTGTGTCTGCTGCAATCTAAAGAAGTCTGTTTGCATTTCTGGGATTTTTTTGTGTTTTTTATTTTTTTCTCATTTACATTTTTGTGGATATAAACCATAGAATATCAGGAAAAGAAGACAAAACACCCAATTGTATTGGTCAGTGATGCAGAACATACACAGCAAGTAAGTAAATAACCCCATAGAAACAGCCCCTGACCATGCTGACTGCCATCCCACAAAACAACACAAACATCCTCACCACCAAGCAAAGGTCGCACAGTTCGAGTTCCTTCTCCACCTCTGTGAGAACATCTGGATCCAGGGCTTCCCCAAACCACACAACGTGGGGACGAAGAAGGCCATGACAGCCATCTTCCTCGCACCTGTTGAAAAATTGCAGAGGTACAGCATTGTATTTCTGACATGAACACCTCCACCTGCAGAGTGGCAAAGCAGCTCTCATTTAGGATTGAACACAGCTTCCTTCCTTCTTTCATTGCTCACATTCACAGCGCTCCTCATGCTCTCCTGAGGTTGTTGAATAGTCATTCAATTCAGGATCTTAATTGCTGTGTCTTAATCAGCTCCTGAAGTGCACGAAATCCCCAAGAACTTGATATGCGCTACAATTTCCACTGACTTCAACAGAAACAGTCCAGCAGGTTTTTAAGAAAGAAGTGGGCTGAGCAGAAGCATCACAGCAGCCCCACAGCAGCCCCATTTCCTTAGGAACAAGATAACAAATGCAGTAGCTCCTTGCACCTGCAGTTAGCCAAGGTAAAGCTTTAGCCACTACAAAAAGCACCTTGACTTATTTAGAGCCTGCAGGAAACTTCTCCTTGGCTGCACACCAGCACCCTATCACATGCTGACCAACAGTAGAAAAGCAGGACAGTAGAAAAGTAACAGCTTACCATGCAGCAGTTTCTTAGTGCAATTCTACTCCTTGCTACCAAACCCACAAATTTTGGCTTGTTTTGAATTTGATGCTCAAGTACACAAACATGCATTTCCTTTAGCACTGTGATAAACTTGTACACACTCCTACTGTCTGGTGCCTCCCAAGCACTAAGTTTGGGTATCAACTCTGTTCCCAGGTGTTCTACTCCTGTTGAATGTGTATGTGTCCTTCCAAAACCATAGAACAGTCAAAGAATTGAGATATATGAAATTTTAAAAAGCTAGCAGCAAAAAAAAAAAAATAAATGAAGAAGTGGATACGTACTGAGGAAGTTCTTCAACTGGAATTGTGGCATCTTCTGTCTCTGGATCTGGAGCCCTGAATTTACAAAAAAGAAATACATATTCAAACGTACAGATGAAGTGCATTTTACAGATTGCCAAAAACTTCGTATTTTCTCCAGTCAAAAGTCTTTGCAACTTCAGTAAACTCTACTAAAGCCCTACCTTAGCACACACAGGGCAGGCAGGATTCTATACAGTATTATCCCAGAACTAAGCAACAGCAATTAGCTTGTCAAAGTCTGACAAAGACACAATAAGTACTTAGGAAGCTATCTAAAGATCTGGGACTAAAACTTTAAGTATAAGCACATGCCTGTCCTCCCCTCCCTTTTTTTTTTTTTTTCTTCCTTCAACAATGCAAGGAAAAAAACAAATAGCTAGAAGGAGGCCAAAGGGCTCTTCTGCAACTTGAAAAGAAATCCTGGAAACTGATTTTCCTGAATTTCAAGACTTGTAATGAGAGTCTCACTGATGAGTTGAAGCACAAGAGTAACGAGATGCTCATGAGATTCAGAACAGGAGAACCCAAATCCTGAATATTATTAAAGAAAAAGTGCTTGGCTAGAACTCCTCTATGCTCCTGTAACAGCTCCTTTCCTTCTAAAGAGCAGACGAAGCAGAAAATACTGGGAGTTTGCAAGGCAGATGGATTACCCTTTCCCAGCCAACGCCGGGCAGATCGGACTCTTGTAATTTGCAGTCACATTTCCACAGTTGGTGCATCGAGTTTTAAATAAGCTTCCTGAAATGCAGAAAGAGGAAACGTTACGGATCAAGTAATTGTTCTAGGGCATGACTGTACAAGCAAAGGGTTATGTTTATCCCAGACAGCTTTTATTTGACTTGTGAGTTAACAGCAGGATGAACACACGAATTGGGTGTTGAAACCTGCCATCATTATGATTGAGATGTTATTTACAGAGTGCTTCCACACGTTTGTTAGCAACCAAAGACAGCCAGAGTCAGAGTTAAGCACAGCACAGCACAAGCAGAGCCAGAAGCACCCTTTTACCTAAACGGCCACAGTGAACAGCAGCAGCTGTGCCTTTGAGCTACGCTTTATGACCTTCTACCTTATGACATAATTAATACGCTGCCTCATAGCAGTTATTTCAGAGGAAAAATCACTAGAAGTATTACCAAATGAGATTATTTCTGCTTGTGGTTAGCCCCACTTTGTTTTATGCAAACTCCCCAACCCCAAGGTGCACATCTCTGAACTTCCATAGAGGTAATACCATGCACCGTGGAGATGCCCAACTGTTTAAATTGTTTAGATTTTGTGAAGAATAAAACTATACCCATGGCTTTATCATTGGATCCACAACTGCAAAACAACTTGTGTCAAGATCACAAATTAGTGGCCCCTGTGTAGCACTCATCTGGCACCTTGCTGGAGAGCAGAAGGGAATGTGGAATGCCATGAACTACAGGGAATGGGAGAGGGAGTGCCACAGAGCATGGAAGAGAAAGGTATGGAAACATCATGTGTTTTTAGACCCTCTTTCCTCCTGCATCTGAAGGGCTGCCATGGGTAGGGCCACAAAGGAAAGGACAGGACACGACAAAGGGAAAGCACCAGGGCTGGAAAGACCTCTCTTGCCCACATGCCTTTTTTTTGTGGCAGTACCAGTGTGATGCTGTCACACTGCTGAAACCCCAAGTTCCATGTATTCAAGTGACAAAACTGAGCAGGTGGGAACGGAGAACCAATTCCCATGTGCTGTCCACTGTGTCCTAATGTCATGGTTTTGGTTTTTGCTTATGTGATTTTCAATATTCCACATCAAAACATCATGTACTGGAATTAAAGTGTTAATGCTCTAACTCTACGTACCTATCCCTATACATTACAGAAGTCATGGGATCTGACCCTTCTGGGGGGGGCGGTCTCTTACTGCTTGGCAGTGGGTGCTGGAGGTGCTTTCCTAGCTGTTCCAAGCTTTTCATGTTTGACTCGGTCTCGGGAACTCTCTCTCATATCTTGTTTGATATATTAGTCTCAATTTCAATTAGATTGTATTAGATTGTATTATTTTGCATTCCGATATCATAGTTAGTAAAATAAGTTTACCTCCATAGATTGTTGCCGCTGTTTTTTTCCTTTTCCCCCTTCCTTCCCATTTTGTGGGGCCAGGCGGGGGGTGGGGAGGGCAGGGGCCTACTGTCCCCTGTCATGGGCATAAACTGATCTAGTTAATTCCGTGACAGTCCTGTCCAGCTGTCAAATAAAAGGAGGCTATGAAGTGTCCAGAACATCTTCCACAAGGGAACAGGGTGATACTGTAAATAACCTCCTGTGAGTGATTATCACTTTTAAGACAAGTTTCATTTGTTCTGCCTATCGTCCTGCTCTCTCTTTTCCCTAGAGTTTTGCCGTCCTGCAGCAGCCAGGGAAGCAGATTCTTACCATGAATTTCCAGGAGGTGCTTTGTGCCTGCCTTCCTGTGCAGTTCATCAATATTCTGGGTGATGACCACCACGCTCCTGCCTTGTTTTCTCAGTCGCTTTTCACACTCAGCAATGGCAATATGTGCAGCATTGGGATGTTTACTCAGCATGACCTCGCGGCGGTAGTGATAGAATTCCCACACGCGAGAAGGGTTGCGTGCAAATGCCCCGGGAGTGGCCAACTCCTGAAAGAGATGCAACGCTTCATTCTGCTGATGGAAGTGCAGGAGAATCCCTTTTTCAGGTGAGGGCCAACAGCACACTGCCAGTCTGACAACAGGATAACCAAAAGTAGATTATTACAGCCGGATGTAGCTGACAGGAACACAGCTTAGTAGCCCATCTCTTATGAGGATGACAACTCAAAATAGCTTATGGAATGAAGAGATAGCTTGTAACCAGTAGTTCAGTGCAGTACAAAGGAAGATGAGATGTTTCAATACACACAATTTGTAGCATTCAGAATTCATTTACAGAGCAGCCATAAAACTCAGCAGTGCGTGGATTTTCCCTTCGCCAGCAATTTCTTATCTGACTTAGTTTAAACATAATGCTAACCAAATTACAGTCCCTGTCAAAACCAAAGCCTAATGTCACCTTTATACACTATGCTCAAGAACAACAAAAACAAAAAGAGCAGAGGGGGCTGCAGTGTTTGGGTAAGAGTTACTGATGGTGACCTTGGAATGTGCAGTACCAGAGTCCCAAGGCACCTGCACTACAGTATTTTATTGCTCGCTACTGCACCACTGTGCACCTCAGAAATCAGGATTAAAAGAAAGTCAGGTTCTACCTTTGCAACTGTCCGTTATTATTTTTGTAACATTTTCCTAAGAGTTTAAAACAGGAAAGGCCCCATGAGATACAAAGACAGTGAGGGCATCCAAAGAGGAGCAAGCAGTTTGGCGACCGGGCAACAGAGTGGCACAGCAGAAAGACAGAGCTGTCTGCATACACATCAGCTTTCTGAAGCAGCTGATCAACCCAACAACAGAAAGCTTTCACACACATACCCCTGGCTGACAGAAGAGCACAGCAGTGCCATGGGTACATACCTGTGCTTGCCACTTTCTCCAAAAACCTCCGGCCCCTCTGAAGGTAGGAACGCCGCTCTCGGCGCTCACACCGGCTCCAGTAATGATGGCGATATGCTTCGCTTTGGCAAACACTTCTCGGAAATCAGCCATGTCTGTTTGTGGGGCAAAAAGATGAGCAGTTGTTCAAACAGTTGCATTTTTACACAAGATTCCATACAATGCTGCCAAACGCGCATGCGGAAAGGGCATTTGCATGCATCCAGAACTGGCTTCCACATACACCCACCATGACTTTAATTTCAGAATACTTTTTTCTTCCCTCCTGTTTCTATATGTTGGAATTTGAAGGGCAGTTCTTGGAGACCCTCAAAGATAACATATGAGCAAACCCAGTAGGACAACACATATTCAACTATGGGTATATGCAGTATTTGAAAGATAAGATGCCTTAAACTAAAACCGTAATTAGATGCTACCTCGATAGCAATGCCACCATCATTCAGGAAGAGCTTGCTTCCTACCTGTAGGAATCAAAGCAAGATTATAAAGGAACCTCTTTACCTCAGATATTAATTTCAAAGCAACATATTTTAGAACCACAGAATGGCAGAGGTAAGAAGGGACCTCTGGAGAACATCAGGTCCAAGCCTCCTCAAAGCAGGGTAAAACTCGAGGGTGCCCAAGCCTGTGTCAGGCAGTTTTTGGAGATCTCCAAAGAGGAGAGAGACCCCACAGCCCCTGGGCAGCCTGTGCCAGTACCCCATCCCTTGCACAGCACAGAATTGCTGCCTGGTGTTCAGGGAAAATCCCCTGTGCTCCAGTTTGTGCTCACTGACTCATCCTGATGCTGAGCACCTCTGAAAAAAGCCCAGCTGTGATTTATCACCCCAAACCAGATGCATATATATCCTAGTAAGAAAGCCCTGAGCCTCCTCTCCTGCAGGCTGCACAGCCCAAGCCCCCTTAGCCCCTCCTTATACATCAACTGCTCCAGCTCCTTATCACTTTTGTGACCAGATCCACCCCAGCAGTGGGGAGCCCAGAGCTGGACCCAACTCCCCAGCCGTGCATCACCAGGGCTGGGCAGAGGGAAGGACCACAACCGCCTCCCTCCACCGGCTGGAGGTGCTCAGCCTGGTGCAGCCCAGGGGGCCGTTGGCCCTTTTCAGCAGGAGGGCCCATCCTTGGCTCCTGGTTACCCAGCTGTCCACCAGAAAAGCTCAGGGCTTTTCCTGCAGAGCTGCTTTGCAGCAGGTCAGCCCCGCTGTGCCAGGGGTTATTTCAAGGAAAGGCACAACTTCAGGCTTAAAAATATATATATGCATATATGTCTGCTAGATTAAAACAAGGCTTCTGAAATTACCTAACATGCAGCTCCCAAACTACCAGAAATGCTTGAGGTCCTCCACAATTCTTGCACAAACAAATCAGGGTGGGTTTTGTTGCTCCTTAGAAGCATGAAGAGGAAACACAGCTAACTAGCATGCATCCCTGCATAAGTTGTAAGTACCAAAACCACATCGGCAGGCAGCCCCAGTGACAGCAGCTACTTTTGTACAGTAAATAGGACTTGAACAGCCGAGAGATAAATCAGCGTCACGCTCTTTCAATCGTTTGGAATTAAATTGGGGATTTCGCCCATTACACGAACCGTTCCGAGTTTCCAACCCAGCTTAACCACCGCCCAGGAGACCAAAGCGACCAAACGCGGATCTTACTCGAACTCGGCCGAGCCATCTCCCAGCAGCAGCTGAGCTTCTTTGAAGCAGGTCTGGGAGCACCGTGCACCTGGGCGAGCAGCCTCCGGGCGGCACGCCGAGCGAGACTCATCAGCGGCGCTTCGACGCCTCGTCCTGAGGAGACACACGGGAAACGAGCGGATCACCGCGCGAGGCGGATCACAGCTCCCCGAGGGAGTTCATTTGGCGGCGTTTTGTGGGAGCGGCCCCGAGCCAGCTGGGCCCGGCCGCGCTCCCGGCCCCGCCGCGTACCCACCTGAGGGCAGGCGGAGCGCGGGCCGCCCTCCCGCGACTCCCAGCCCTGCCGTGCGGCGCCGCACGTCCCCGGCCCGGCCCGCCTTCAGCCCCGCCTCCCCTGCGCGGCCGTTTCCTTGCAGCGGCAGGGGGCGGCGCGGCTCCCGCCTGAACGCCGCTGCGCTGCTCGGCTTTACTGCGCCGCTGCAGGGCCGGCAGGACGAGGCGCTGCCTCAGCGCGGGGCACGTCGTCCGTTAGCGAAGGCCCCGCACTTTGTTTTACTCGGACGTAGAATCACAGAATGGCCCGGGTTGAAAAGCACCACAGTGATCATCCGGTTCCAACCCCCTGCTATGTGCAGGTCGCCAACCAGCAGACCAGGTTGCCCAGAGCCACATCCAGCCTGGCCTTGAATGCCTGCAGGGATGGGGCATCCACAACCTCCTTGGGCAACCTGTTCCAGTGCCTCACCACGCTCAGGGTGAAAAACTTCCTCCTAATATCCAACCTAAACCTCCCCATCTCAGTTTAAAACCATTTCCCCTTGTCCTGTGAGTACCCAACGTAATCCATGCACAAACAGCACTCCGACCGCTCACAGCTCCCACAGTTTTACGAGGAAAGCTGTTTCTAGCTTGTTTGCTGTAGAAAAAGCTCGCTCACTGCTTTCACTCGGCCTCACCCTCCTCCCTGCCTTTCCTCAGCAACTTTAAATCCCTTCTCGCTCAGTCTTTCACACTTCTCAAATATTTCAGTTTTTCCTGCGCACTTTGTGAGATGAGATGGAGAGTTCCTCTTTGTAGGGGACCATTGGAATCGCTGAGGGGCGCTGACCCCAGCCTGCCTGTGGGAGCACAAGGACTCTGGTTGAATCTTGATAAAGGGTTTTGGAAAAACCCTGAGGTGCACATCGATGCCTGCAGTTTCACGTTACTTCATTGCACTCATTACATACGTTCCTTCCAACGTTTACCTGGGACAAGATGTGTTAATATGCCGAGTTTGCAAAAGAAAACATTGGGATAGCATGGGTTAAGTCAAATGTTTGTGTAAACAGCTCAGTTTCTGTAGGTTTCTCTGCCATTCACAGACTGTACACTCCAGGAAGCACTCCAGTGTTTGTGAACCAACCATGTGTTCTGTATTCCTAAGGGTAGCTGATGCTAAGCTGGTATAAATTCTGTAAGAAAAGGGCCACATTAACTTCCAAAACTGTTTGTAGTGGCCAAGGACAATAATTTATGCAAATGTTCATGCACACACGTGTATTTTTTCAAAAGCTTTATAAAAAGGTTAAAGTGACATCTAAAATTAACTTCAAGATACTTGACAGTGTTTTAGGGTCATCTGTGCCTGATAAAATACTTCTGTGTAAACAAGTTTTTCCATTATGGTATTTTTTTTTTCCCCAGCAACAATCATCGTTAATGCGCCGAAAGCAACTCCGAGTGGACTCCAAAAGCATGAAAAAGAGGTCTTCTGCAAAGCCCTTCATTCCACCAGAATCAGGTAACACAAACACGTCGGTATCCTGTTTCAGTGCTGGCAAAAGCCCTGTCAAGGGCCAGCACAACGCTCTGCGCCTGCCCCCTTGGCACAGCACCTCCCAGCTGCCTGGATGAGGGATGTACATCTTTAGCAGTGCATCTGCCTTCTCCCCCGTCCACAAGCTCTCAGTGCCTGTGCCGTTCCCCAGCAGGAGTCACCCAGCTCTGCTCCCCTGAGAAGGGAAGGGAGGGGAAGGCAGCAGAGGAGGAAGGTGTACCCACACGGTCTGCACTCATCTTGTGCCACAGGAACCAGCTGGTGTTCATACAGGTTAACATCATCAGGTGCTCCACTCCCATTGCAGTCCTTCAGCATTCTTACAAAGTATTTTGCATCTGAGCACCATCAGCGAGTAATGGCATTAAGCTTATTATGTGACCATGGAACCTAAATGTATTGAATATAAGCAAAACGATGTCTTTAAAATCCCAAGTAAACAGTCTGTATTCTAACACACAATAGGTCTGTACCAATTAAATACAGTATTGGCAGTATATAAATTACAGTTCTTTACAGTAAATAGTAACACACTAGAGTCCGCTTACTGTACACAACAATCAGAGAAAGAACAGCAGCTTGTCAGTAAGGTCCCAGGTATCTCAGTCACTCACTTGCTCAGAACAAAGAACAGGTACAGCAGGCCACTCACGTCACTCATTTTTTACCATGATACTTTACAAACATCCAGAACACTTGTACAGGCATCTACAGTATCTACACGTGGAACAACCTTCGTAGGAATTCATGAGCACCAGACACAAATCCCTCCATCATTCCCATTATTAACATAAACTTTACAGATTAAAATTACTTTCGCAGGTTCTATTTCATCTCGATAATAACCAGCAAGTAACAAGTGCAAAGTCTGCAGTCACAATCCATCTACTGTGTCTTGTTTCCCTGCTTCCCCCCGCACCCCAAAAACCCCCCAGACAAATCCCAAAGCATTGTCCTATCACACCCTTGCAGTAATACTGTTTCTGCAGTCAAACTGCCCGGCTGGTTTATGGTAACACACAAAATACCAGACTAACAGCTTCGGGCATTGTCAGTCATCTCAGTACAATGCCAGTTCATCAGCACAGTGGCAGGCCTCTAGGAAGACAAGAAGTATGAAGCATTCGGATATTTCAGTGTGCTTAAACACAGAACATAAGGCTGCTTGGTGCCCCGTGACCGAAAGGAAAATGGCACCACGTTATCAGTTAAAACATTTACAATAGAAAGATAAAAACAGCAAATGTGTCAGTCTAAAACGAGTTCTTTGGTAATGAAAAACAGCAAACCGTAGTCTTCTTCCAAACACGGATTTACAGCCTGTTTGTCCACAATAAAATATTTCTAGTTGTTTAAAATATATCTCCCATGTTGATGCATAACAAATAGTCCAGTACCTCAATTATCTACACATCAGCTTTAACTGTATTTTAGTGTGCAGCCGTATCTGCCCACTGGCAGACAAACTATAGATACACATTCATATATATATAATATATATTATTTATAAAAAAATTAAAGAAGTCAAGGACCCTAGAGAATAAGCGTTCTGTATGGACAGATTTAAATGTACAATAGCTTCCACAATCCATAAAGTTTTCCACACAGTGATATGTGTAGTAAGTGCAAAAAATACTGCAGTTCAGTTAATCCACGATTTCCTGTTTTCTTGTTTCCTAGAAAAAGCAGAAGCCGCCGCATCTCCTGAATGACAGAGGCCTTCTCCTGCTTTAGGAGTGGATGGTGAGCCCTGAAGTACAGAACTCCTCCGTTTCTCTGAAGTGGAAGATGCCTGAGACCGCCAAGTGCTGCTGCATTTCCTTGTGGATGCTGGTGCTTTACTGAGGCGCCCGGGGCGAACAAACACCCCGTGCCGTGGTTTGCAGTGGAAGTACTCTCTGCCTTTGACAGTCCCATCGTGTTTCCCTTCAAGGAAAACAAAGGCACAGAATTAATTGTTGGGATGTTCATACGTTCAGTAGACATGTAATTCTGGTATTGAAGTGTGAATCTCTCTATCTGTGAAAGAGTCCAGATTTGTAGCTGTGAGTGCTGGAATCAGATAGATACCAAGCACAAGGGTGAGCAAAACCTGGAAAGGAGGCCTTGAACTGTGACCAAAGACTTCCTAAAGTATTATTCTATTAACAAACAGTTTAAAAAGTCACACATCTGTTCTTTTTCAAAATAAATTACTCTCAAACAATTACTTACAAAGCTTAGTACCTATACTGCAAGTTTATTTGACAGATAAGTGTTAGTATCTATTCAACTGCTAAAAAAGCCATCTTTTCAAAATATCTGAAGCCATTCTCTGTAGGAACCTCTTAGCATTTACAGAACACAGGCTCTTTTTCAGACCCCACCAAACGAAGTCAAAGAAAACCTGTGCACTGTAATCAAGTCTTTACCTAGTACAAAAATAAAACTCTCTGAAAGCTACAGGCAGCAAACTCATCTGACAAGTGATGTCTATGGCTAGTGCTGTCCATGAACCTGCAAGCTGAAATATATCTGCTAATTTTAGGCTTTGCTTGTTTTTCTGATCTATAAACAGATGAGTACCAATGGGAATGACATGCAAAGCATTATTTTGCATTAAGTGGAAGAACAGGGCTTTGAGACAGCTAACAATCTTCATCAAAGCACTCTATAAACAGAAAGCCTAGAATGCTGTGTTTCAGATGTCAAGTGATTACAAAATTGCAAGTTTTTCCCAAGAGTGAACAGAGTATGGTTATAATGCAACTTTAAAACAGATCGTGGTAATTGCACAGATAATCCAGAGCATACTCAGCCTTACCTAACTGAACGTTTAGTTCAACTCCAACCCAGATGCCAGCCGAAAAATCCACCGTTCCAACATATCTCACTGTGCCCACCTTATTGCTTCCAACACAGACTTGTTCACCCACTGCCACCCAGCTAGGCAAGACATGGGCTTGATCTGCAGAAGCGGCGTCTTCACAGTCAGATCCATCCAAGTGGTCCTTCCCAGTAAAATCATCTATGGAAATATCAGGGTAAGTCTCACAGTCTGAAGTCTCTTTTACTAACAAAGGCCTTCCCACAGCATTTGCAAGCTGACTGCCTGCTGTTGCAGAGCCCAGCTGGGCCCCACACGTGTCCTGCTCCTTGCCAGTTCCTAGGGATAACTCCGAGGTGCTCACTCCATTGGAGGACACGACAGAACAGGGTTGTGGAGATGCTGAGTGGTCAAAGTCTTTTCCATCTTCGACACCCATAAACTCCGTAAATGAGTGATCTTCAACAATCTCCATTGTGTGCTCAACTGTAGCTTCACGTGCAGAAAATTCAACTGTATGACAGGTATTTCTGCCATCTGAGGAGCTTAGAGCTGAAAATGATCCAGCTCTGGGTAACTGCTGAGAGCCTCTGTCAATGGCATTGAGGGACAGTGGAACTTGTTCTGTTAAGGCACTGTTTTCTTTTAGTGGTAGCACAGGTAACTTTTCTCTTGCTAACTCCTTTTCTGCCTCACAAAATTCCTTGTTCAAAGATCTTACATCATGTGCAAGAGATGATCCTGAAGGGTCATTAAAGTCCAGTTCCTTTGTGTGACAGGCTAGCTGGTCTGTGCTATCACTAGAGGGAATAAGCATGTCAGACAGAGTAGCATTAGAGGCACTGTGGGAAAAATAGCCACTAGTGATACTGCTAGTGGTGGGGCTGCGGGATACCTCTTTCTCAAGAACACGTGAACTCATGAAGTCTGATTTAGAAGAAAACCACTCCCTGTTTTCCAGGCTAGCATTGTAAACACTGAAGTCAGCAAATTCCTCTGGAACATAAGGTCGGAAATTTTTAAAACTTTGTGGACTTATCAGTTTCTTATGAATGGCCTCCAACTCACTGTCTTCCTCCTCAGAATCCTGCAAAAGAAGAGAGTCAAGTGGTATTAGCAGCCTACAAAAGTAAAGTTCTCAAGAAAATTGACTTGATTTTTCCCTTCTGAATATGAAGAAATATGCATATTCAATATTCCTTAGCTGAAGAACAGAAGCTCCTTCTGAAATTAACTGTTGGCAACGTAACCCTATCCATCTTATCTGAGCCATTCAATTTTTAGAAAATAAAGATTAGTTCTAAATAGTCCAGAAAATATAAAGCAATATAGTTTGGCATAAGGAAAATCTACATTAAAAAGTCAGATATTCTCATATTTTCATCATATTCTGTTTTTGAAAGCCATGTATTACAAAACATTTCTGCTCATTATTTGGGCTTATTAAACCTATTGAACATATTTGATAGAACCACTTGATTATCTAACAAAATGGACACACAGGAACAGAAGAGGGCTAAAGGGGTCTCTGCTGCAATGCTGATTATTAAGAACCATTCTGCACAATAGGATTTTCTATTAATCTCATACCAGTAAGGCAAAATAGTGTTGCTTACCCCTAGCTATCACACTTGAACACATTCACAATGCTTGAAAACAAAGGCAAAAAAAAAAAAATCCTCAAGGAAGCATTTATGTGCATTCATGTTTGGAGGGAAATAGGTGACTCCAGCTAATCTGACAGAATTTGGAAGCAGCTCCCCCAGTTTCACATTGAGAAAGAGCGATGATACGTGGTGACAAGCCCAAATGTGGCTTTCACAGAATGCATGCGAAGCTGAGAACAAAGGGTTTGAGGATGTCAGTTTGTCAGGATGCATCTGAGAAACACCCCAGCAACACGGCCATGCAGCTCTCCTCAGGATAAAATACAGCAGGCATGACTCCATATCCAGGCTTTTCAAACACTTCATTTCTTCATTTAAAGACATGTGTATTTGTATGCATGTGTATGAACACATGTATATACAATGTGTGTGTACACATATATAGATACACTATGTATTAAATGATTAGTTTATGATAAAGTCCCAAGAGTGTAATATTAAAAAACAAAACATAACCCAATACCAAAAAGCCTGTTGAAATATATAAAAGTTTAGAAGAACTGAAGTGCCTGTTATTTCTCTATGTGTAATATGTATTTCAAATACTGATCAGCACAAGTCTCAAAAGACTGATCCTGCATGATAACCAAAGCAGTTCCACACTTTTAGAAGCCTGCCATAAATCATGGAAGAGGAGAAACGCAATACTTAACCAGGTGATCAAAGCATTGAGAACAAACACATTTAAGACGAAAATACTTCAGAGAAAGTTTCCTGTATTTCATAATAACCAGGACAAAATGTTTCAGAATGATTCAACTTAATGACATTCTCTTGACCTTTACAATGTTATACTTAAATATCAGCTTTCTTTTCTACTTCAAGTCACTTAATTGCCTGCTGAGGCTACCTCTAACACAGTAATAGATACAATATATATCAAATGTCTCTACTTACACAGGCCCACTGTTCTTAGGAACTTCAGATCTTACCTTAACACTACTTAAGGCATTTTTGTGCATCTGTGATGATCTAATGATACAAGCAAAATGAGGCCTGCAGGTGAAGGCAATACCTTTTCACTGGACTGTTTTAACCAACTGGACAAACCCTACTGGCTTCCAGACTTAAGGAAGACATGACCTCTAGATATCAGCCTCATTTTGGGCACACAGTTAAAGGCAGCATGAAATTAGCACACGATTCAGCAATTATCTTAGGACACTGCCTAAACTCCTTTCAGTTTGCATTAGGACTACAACAAGTGCTTCAAATTCACTTGCTGATCTATACTTCTCAATGTTTTATCAAAGGGAAGAAACTGAATCATGCCCCTCTCCATCTGTACTGTATTATGTACTGACTGCATCTTCTCAGTGCTGTAAACATTTCTGAACCTAAACACCCCACTGAGTGCAACAACTATTCTTAATACGCCTTAAGTTAGACAAATGTTTACAATATTTTACAGATGAGGAAAGAAAGTCAGCCTCCTAAAGAAACTCATCACAAGCAGGGAAAGAACCCATGCTACCACATTCTTTTAGTAAATCTTCTACCCTCCTTTCAATTTTCACTTCCAGGTTTTACGGTACTTATATTTTGCAGCCTGAAAAATCAGAACTCAGAAAAGATTTCACCTGCTGTAACAGAAAACATACCTAGATATTTAGACACTGCCTGTCACTGCTGAACCCGAACTCTGAACACTGCAGACATGTCTGTATGATATCTCTCTTCTGCTTAAATAAATTTGTGTAACAAAGCCTCAAATATATAGGCAAATACATTTGTTCAGCTTGCTTATGTCAGAGCATTCACAGAATTGTTTATGATGGAAGGCATCTTAAGATCGTTAAGCCCAATCCTCTCACCCAGTCTGGGTCAGCTAGAGCAAACTGCCCAGGGCAGTGTCCACATGGGTGAATTTTGAGCTTCTCCAAGGATGGAGGCTCCATGCTGTGCACAATCCATTTCAGCATTTGACCATTCGCGCAGTGGAAAAAGTATTTTCTTCAAATGTGTTCAGTTTGTGCCCACTGCCTGTCCTGTCACTTGTACTACTGAGAATCATATTATCACCGAGGTTGGAAAAGACCTCCAAAATCATCCAGTCCAACCACCCATCTAACACCAATATTTCCCCACTAAGCCATGTCCATTAGTATGATCTCTAAACATTTCTTGAATACTCCCAGTGATGGTGACTCCACCAGCTCCCTGGACAGCCCGTTCAATACCTTACCACTCTTTGGGAAAGAAATTTTTCCTAACATCCAGTCTGGTGCAACTTGAGGCCATTATCTTTTACCCTATCACTACCTACTTGGGAGAAAAGGCTGACCCCCACCTTGCCACAACCTCCTTTCAGGTAGCTGTAGAGAGTGATAAGGCCTCCCCTGAGCCTCCCCTTCTCCAGACTGAATAACCCGAGTTCTATCAGATGCTCATTATAAGATCTGTATTCCAGATTCTTCACCAGCTTCACTGCCCTTCTCTGGACATGCTTCAGGGCCTTGATGTCTTTCTTGTATTTAGGAGAAGAATCTGCCCTTTTTTCACTCCCTCCCATTAGGTATTTTTTATGCATTAAGATTCTCCAAGAGCCTTGTCTCCTCCAGGATGTACAATCCCAGCTCTCAGCCTCTCCTCATGTCAGCTGCACCAAGCCACCACTGATCTTTGTAGATGTGCAACAAGACTCATTTCAATTAGTCCTGCATTGCAGAGCTCAGAACTGGACACAGTATTTCAGACACAGCCTCAGCAGAGCTGAATAGAGAGCAGGAATCTCCTCACTCAGCCTGCTGATGATGCCCAGTATACTGTTGGTTTTCTCTGTAGCAAGGACATGTTTAGTCTTCCACAAGCAATCCTGGTTCATGGCCAGCTTGTTGTCCATAAGGACTCCAGTGTCCTGTCAGCCCAGAGCATACACTGATCCTGGTGTTATTCCTCCCCAGATGTAGGATTCCGTATTTCTACTGTTGAACATGACAATATTCTTCTCTGCCAAGCTCTCCAGCTTGTTGAAGTCCCTCAGAATGGCAACACAATTTTCTGGTTTAACAGTTGCTTCTCCCAGTTTTGCATCACCTGCAAACTTGCTGAGGGTGTATTCTATCCAGGTCATTACTGAAGATGCTGAGCAATACTGACCACGGGTATTTCAGACAGAGACTAAGCCACTTGTTACATGCCTCCAAGAAGTTTTTGTGCTTCTTACAGATCTCTTGGCCCAACAATTCAGCCAGTTTTTAGTTTATCTCAGCATCCAATTATTCAATCTATATATGCTGGCCTGTCTACGATGATGGTAAGGACATGGTGCCAAAGGCTCTGCTAATGTCAAGTTAAATAACACTATTTTCCCCTCACCCACTAAGCTAGTCACTGTAGTATAGAAGGTGACTCATAAATCCATGATGACAACCTGATCACATTCTTGTCCTTCAAGTGTTTAGAAATGCAGATTGAGGATTTTCTCCGTTACCTTCTCACAAATGGAACTGAGGCTGACAGGTCTGTAGTGTGCTGAATCTTCCTGCTTTCTCCCAGTTTCCATGACCATTCAGAGATAACTGAGAGCAGCTCCACAATAACATCAGTTAGCTCCCTCTGCACTCATGGTGGATATGCATATACATTGCAAGTGCTGCTCAAACTGGTGGCCCTCTGCCAAGGGCAAATCTAACTTGTTCCAAACTTCTCCTTGAGTCTCAGGGGCCTGAAATTCCTGCAGGCTGGTTTTGCAGGTAAATATGGAGGTAAAGGCAACAATGAGTACCTCTGCTTTCTCCAAGACATTTGTGACAAGTTTCCTCATTCCATTCAGGAGCACAATCCACATAGGCATACATTAGGCAACACATGTCTATGTGACAAGAGCTCCATTCTAACTTGGAGGTTTTTCTTTTTTCCCCATTTTCTCCCCCAAAACAAACAGAAAGATGTTCTTGCTGACCTCATTTTTCTTTTATCCTACATTTTTGAAGTGATCACTACTCACTGACCCTTATTCTGTAACAAGGCCTCCTTTTCATTTCTGTAACATTCAATTTATATTAGAAGCTTCTAGTAGATATAACTCAGTCTCACTATCCATACAAGACAGCCTCCTAAGTTGAAAGATTTCCAATCATATTAAATCTTTGTTAGAAGGACAATCAGTATCTGAAGATGTCTAAGTTGTCTAATTCTACCTGACAAGTCCAACCAGATTTCAGACTAATTGCTCAAGTAATGGCATGGCAGCTTTTGCTTGCAATTTTTTATGTATATAATTTGGATTTAATTTGAAACTATTTATTTCTCTAGAGAGGATTGATAGTGCTATGAAATGGTATGCAATAGTTTTTAACATGATTTACATTATTGAAAGCTCTGTTCTTGTGGTCTGAAATCTATAGTTTTTTAAAAGGAAAGTGCAGAATTCATGCCCACTTCACTGAGACCATCCAAACATTGAAGTATTGCGCAAACCATCTTTCTGCGTATTCAAGTAAACCTGTTACTCATCTCTGATGGATATTTTCTCAATTAATCTGCTTACTCCTTCTCTTTCAGCCTTATCTTGCAATTTTCTGCATAGAACAAAAGCTTTGTAGGTGGGTTTTGAAACACTACAGACTATCATTTATCAAATATGCTGCTTTTAAGATGGTACATGAACTCTCCAAATTGTTACATACTTTGCAAAGGAAGTATTTCCTCTGGTGGACAGTAAGCAAACACCCACTTGAGACCAAGAGGCATTTTTATAATAGTTTTCTGTTTCACCACAGAATCCTGCAAGATGCCTCATCTAACTGAAAAAGAATTTCAGGGGACACAGGGATCATGCTCAGAATCTATCTGGATAAAAGGCAGTGTAAATGAGAAATGGTTTTGCAGACCCACAGACATCAACAACATGATCAGGAGAAGACTAATAAAATACCATTGCCAGTAATTAATAGTTTGGGGGTTATCTAACATCAGAAATCCAAAACTTAAGTTACAGAGATGCAGTCTTATTCCTAGATTATGGTATTTCCTTTCAAAGCACCTCTTGAGCCTCCTGATGGAGAAATTCTCAAAGTAAAGCAATTTCAGGGCCATTTAAATTCCTGTGCATTTCAGATGTGGGGAAAAAAAGAAGGAAGCCTTCTTGTACCGCTCAGGCTGCTGGAATAACCAAAGTATAAAGTCTGTGAAAAACTGATAAATTACAAACACCTGCCTGGGAGATAACAGAAAAAACTATTATATAAAACAGATTTAAGAACTGGTTACAGTAGGAATGTCCCAGAAAGAACTAAGGACATAAGATGACAAGTCAGGATTTAGTAACAACAACAGAAGCAAAGTAAGCAAGAATTCTGACAAAAAGCAGTTTCCAAACACCTGCTTAGTAACAGTAAGTTACTAAGTAATAACCTCATTTGTTACTACTTAAAAAGTACTTAAGTTTTCATATCCCTGAATTATAGCTCTGAAGGAACCTCAAAGATGCCTGTTTTAGTTTTTAATTTAAAACTAATAATACTTATTTGGTGGCTGCACCACAGTTGCTTTGGCATTAAGTTTATTGCCCACTGAGAGGATTTGCTCCTACACACAAAAAAACCAAAACCCAATCATGAGACATAATTACAGGCAGTATGCAAATACAATCAGTATAAAAACATTACACTGACCTTAGCATATTTCACTGCACTCATATTTTATAGAGGGCACACCCTTGTGTCAGACTACTTTGGAACACATGTGGAAGTGCCACCTGAAATTTCAGGTTCAAAGCTGCATTTAAGGCCAAGTAAAGAAAAACCTTTTCCTGTAAGCCAGTTAAGCCCTCTACCTTTGACAGATGCTTTGAATATTCAAGAAAATGTTAAGATCATGGACAAAGATGTGAAAAAGGCCAAATATTACTCTTATGTTTACCCAGATGCAAAATACGAGTCCAGTTAAAATTACTGGACTTCTGTATGTTTAGTCACTTTGTTGTTTCTAATACATTTTATATGCAGTAGAATTTAAAAGATGCAAGAAAGAATCACACTTGAAGCTACATCAATCATCCAGTGATTAGTTAGGAGTAAGAGGCTCTGTACCTTGGATCAATCATTCAGAATACAGATAAATAATGTGAAACCTTCACTTGCAATCAGAGAGGAGCAGACTGCAGAAGTTTCATGTGGAGGCATGATGCTGCCCAACTTATCTGAGCTGCCCTCAACTCATTCTGAGGACACTATTCTTCCACATGCATGAAATGCTTACTCCAGCAGCTTAGCTAACACACAGACTTGTTCCAGCTCTGAAAAATGCAGAGTAGCCTGGGAAGGCTAATCTCTTCCTAAGAGATCAAAAAAACTCAACCAATAAACAAAAAATAACAACCCAGAACACAAAAAACAACCCAGAAACCATCATTTGCTAAGCTCAATGCAAAAAGCTGGAGCAGCCTTCTCAATATCCTCCCTGCAAGCAGCTGCTAGTTCTTACCTGCCTCCTCTGTACTCATTCCAGTGATCAGACAGGAGAGCAGACCCAGCTGAAATATAACTAACTCTATTGCATAGTTTTTCACCTAGATGGATCAGTCCCCTTAATATGACTTACTATGCAACCAAAGAAAAATCTATGCTGAGGCAAGACAAGTCAGTGCAAAGGCATGAGCAAGCAGCTGGGAACTGAAAGCACAGCTCTTTCCAGTGCCTTACAGACTACAGTGGGTCTGAAGCTATCTGAATTCATTTTTAGTCTAATTGGAAACATTTGATGCAGGAGACTGCCCTTTTCCAGCTCCAAAAGTTCCTGCTTATCTTTGGAAAACAGCACAGGCAAATATCCATGTTAATTCAGAGCATGCATGGGATGGGACCCTGCTTTGACTGAAGGGATCACAATTGCCCTGATGTTGCTATAGAAAATTTTCTAACAGATTACATTCTATGGGATGTTTTTCAAGTCAGTGGAAGATTTTGCCTTCCAAATACCTTTCATGCTATTTGTGTCCGTGACTCAGCTGACATACTGACTCACACCTCCTTATGGAAAAGTTACATGACGGAGAAGAAAACAGCTGCTACACAGGAACAGCAGCCAAGCTTCTAAAGTATGCACCAGAACTCTCTCAGGAGACTTTGGTGCAACAATCTATGAAGTGGCATTAGAAATAACCAAAAGTGATTTTTCTCACAGCATGGCTATGTGGTAGGAAATGAAAACGCTGAATGGGAATCCCTCATAAAACCTTGAATAATGTGCTCACAGTACTATTAAGGGGAAATAAATTCAAGGCTCCAAATGCTAAATCTAAAGCTCTGATTAGAACAAACATTCACAGCCATCTTCCACAGCTCAAAAATCAAGGTCTTCATAAAGCAGAAATGATACATGTTTTGTTGAAGCAGCAGTGAGAAAACAATTTGACAGCTGAATAGAAAAATAAAAGCCCTCCACCTAATTGCACCACCTGAATTACGATGAAGACAGGCTGCAGGTTAATTAAGAGCAGCAACCTTATTTTAGTGATATTAATCCCACACCAGGCAATTAGATAAAGCTTTTATAGCGTACCCACACCTAAATGCACAGTTACTTACACCAAATGGGATCATTCCATTTACTCTGGGGTATAGTCACAAAATCTGGATAACATACAAGGCATATTAGAATGACAACAACATGATCCACTAAGCTACACTTTACTTGATTATTTGTGCCCTGTAAAAACTGAAGCCTCACGTTTTCCACCCTCCCCATGAGAGGAATCACATAAATTAAAAAAAAAACAAACCAAAAACACAAAAACCCACCAACAATTATTTCCATTTAAAGATAGCATTTGTGAGCCAAGCAAGCATTATAATTATTAGTTATAATCACAAGTGATCGTATCCACATTAATCCTTCTTTTCCTGCTGCAGTAGCATTAAGTACCTTAAGCCCATCACCAAAGAGCCCTAAGCCCACCACCAGGCCTCATAACAGAAGCTGGTACAGAACTTACAATCTTTTCCTCATGTATGCTATTGCTTTCTAGAGGCATGCTGTTGGCACTACTTCCTGAAGGCACAACACAGCCAGCACAATGCACCTGAGATGAAGGCATACTCTGCAAAGGTTAAGACACACAACACATCACACAAACCACAAAGGCTAAGTATGCACGTGAGGCAGAAAGGCATTAAGGCACGATGAAAGCCAAACACTCATAGTGGCCATATGTTTTACCAAATTTCAAGTTAACAGGTAGAAAAACTCATGTGTTTTGCACTCTTCAACAGCTTTAAGATGAGGAATAAATGTCAGGCTTCTAACCACCACTGAATTTCTAGAATCACTAGAATTACTAGAACTAGATAGAATTAATTAAAAAAAAAAAAGTGGTTACTGTTACTTTAAAATAGAAATACTCTGTAAAGAAGGATATTTACCAAGAGGGGAAAGAAACCCAATATTTCAGGTAAAAAAATATAAATGAAAAACCCACCAAATATAATGGATTTTAACCAAATAATTACAAAACTGTATTGGAACAGAAGCACGTGGCAATCAGTTTGCCAAGAATGCCAAATTAGTTGATTCCACAAAGAACAAGGTAGCTTCCAAAGATTACCTCCTGACTAAGCAGAGGTCGACTTTCAAGTGGAGTCTTCCTTTTATGTTCCTCTTTCACTGGCATTAAGGGTTTGAAAAACTTGGGTGGTTGAGGAGAAAATGCTTTAAAAGGGCTGGCCATTAAAGCATGAGAATTCTCTGACATGATACCTAGGGGGAAAAAAAAAAAAAAAAAGATGTTCTGCTTTGGTTCTTCATCTCTTAACTGCAAGAGCAAAAATTCAAAATAATAGAAGGTTAACCTGTGCATTTGGCAAATTGATGGCTACAGAAAGAATGGCAGTATTTTAGTATTTAACCACTGACTCAAGCATGAGATAGTGCAGAACTCTACAAAGGCAGATTGTTTTCCTCTGAGCAGTCTGAGCAGCAGAAAGAGAAGGAAAGTAGAGGACAGCAGTATCTGCCCTTTCCATTCTGAGTCTCCAGTTTTTCTTCTTTTCATCTCAGTCATCTCACCCTGAAACTGAAAACTGACAGCCTTTTGCTTCCTCTGCCTCATCTTTCCTCTGTCCACAACACTGCAATTCTACACAGGAAGCAAGCCAGCGTAACTAGGGTGATGAAAAAGAAAGTTATGGGCAAGGAAGCACTGGCTCTACAAGCACTTCCTGTCCAAGAAGAGCAGATTACAATTTGACCTAAAGAAAATAAGACATTTTGATTGCTGATATTGAAGAACAAATATCCAAAAAATGCAAAGAACCTGCAAAAGGACTCTCCCCACTTTCACACAAGCCTCTTCATTATCAAATTCATAAATCCACAGCAGCTTTTCCTTTTCTCTCCTCCTTCTGTTTTGATCTACATTTATATTGTCTTGTATTTGATTTTGAACACTCTCAATTTCTTATACTGTCCTGAATATCTTCATACATTTCTCTCTCCCCTATTCACAGATTATGTCAAGCTACTAAAGCAAGAAGCTGGATAAAGCATTTAAATAGAAGAAAAGAACTGAGAATTTAATAGGAAGAACACTGTTTTTAATCTGATTTTCAATCTAGTGCAGTAATTAAAAACCACAAGCAAAATCATTACACATATTTAGAACCTCACCGCTGCCATCTTTGCTCCTGCGTGGTGACTCCCTGGGTAAAGTACCATAGCATGATACATCTTGATAACTGGAAGAACAGTCAGACATATCTAGGTGACTTTCAGACCAACCCTAAGAAACAAAAATACATAAATATGCACATTGATATAGGAAAACATGCAAAATTTAATAGGTAAACTCAAAAGTTCATTTTATTTATTTATTTTTAACCTCAAATATATCAATTTTATGACTTCAAGACATTTTTCTGTCTTGAAAATGATGGATAATTCAGAAGCAACTAGCTTTTCTTTGAAAATATACGAGTGACGGTCCAAAAGTAATCCCTATGTTATTATGCTGGCCCACGACATCAGAGGCAGATGTTAACAGTATGGCAGTAGATGTTGAACTTTCCCATCAATATTCTGTTTTCTCTAAGGTTTTCTCTATCTTTCTCCTTAAATATCATTTTCTATAATTCTAATTTAAAAAGCAGAGAAGAACAAAAGAGTTTAATTCAAAATAGGACGTAATTACCATTTGTTAGATATATTAAGTAAACATACCTTTTTTTTATTTTTTTTTATTTTGAACTTCACATTTACATACCTTATCATCTTCATCACAGGCAGAAAGATCTAGTCGGCTACAGGATACCTACAAAACACCAAGAGGTAGAATGAGAAAATGCATTCCTTTTAATTATAAGATGTCTTAAGGAGACACTGAACATTTAGTCCTGACTTTCCAGATAAGATTACTTAGGACAGATACATTTGTTCTGAGTGGGTGATACAATAATGTATAAATGCACACAAAATGGAAACTATCCCTTCCACCATGAAAAGAAGTAAAAGAGACTTTTACATCAAAGTGAAAAAAAAAAAGTAATCTGAAAACTGCAGCCATCATCCTACAGCTCTTCGCAAACTATTACCTTTATACAGGAAGGAGACTTCTGACCAACTCTCCCTCTGCCCTTGCTTTCTTCCAGAAAGGAAAACTGTAAGGAGGGATTTTTGTTGGATGACTGACTTTTTTCATGCATATCAACTTTTCTAGAGGTTGACTAGTCCTATTTCAGAATAATCATGACCATATCGTATTGTAGAAGTATTACATCAGTACACAAACAACACCATTCCACCCAATTCACACTAATTAACCAAAGGAGAAAGGGTTCTTACATTGTGGACATTTGGTGTGCTCATGCTTCTGCGGATGTTTCTTGCTTTGGTAGAGAGTGCTTCTTTGACTGTAACTGCCTGTGTAGAAGAACAGATCCCACTTAAAATTGTGCTGTTAACAAAGATGAACAATGTCCTCATGAGAAGCAATCAAACAGGACAGAATCACTGAATCACTGAGGTCAGAACAGATTTCTGGTGGTTTCATGGTTCAACCTTTCTGGGTTCAAGTAGTTCAAGTGGCCACCTACAGCCACTTTACCTAAGGGAACATCCAAATGCCTTTTAACTATCTCCATGGGAGAAAACTCTTTGAATCCATTCCATGGCTCAGGCACTCACACAGCAAAGAATTGTTTCTTGATGTTCAGACAGAACATCCATTGCCTCTTATCCTGTCACTTGGCACCACTGAAAAGAGTCTGCTTCTGCTGTGTTTGAGCCCTGCTTCTAGGTAGTGAAACGATTGAAATGCAACAAGATGATCTACTACCCCACCCTCCAGCCTTCCTCCTGCAGACTGAGCAGTCCCAACTTTGTCTTTTCCTCATAGGAGAGGCGTTGCAGTTCCTTCATTACCATTGTGGCCCTTTGTTGTACTCAATCTGTCTGGGTTTCTTGTGTACTGGGGAGCCCGGAATTGGACACAGAACTCCAGGTGTGGCTTCACCAGAGTAGAGGAGAAGGATCACCTCCACTGACTTGCTGGCAGTACCTTGTGCCTAATGCAACTCAGGATACTACTATCCTTCTTTGCTGCAAAGGCACTTTGGTGGCTCACGTTCAACTTTGTGCCCATGAGGGAACTCCAGGTTCATTTCTGTTAAGTTGCTTTGCTTTCCAGCTGGATGTCCCCAGCATGTCCTGGTGATTGGGCTTGTTCCTTCCCAGGAGCAGAACTTTGCGCTTCTCATTGTTTAACTTCATGAGATTCCTATTACCCATTTCTCCATTATGTCAAAGTCCCTCTGGATGGCAGCATAACCCTTTGGTATAATCAACACTCCCTGTAGTTTTGTGTCATCTGCAAAATTCCTGAGGGTACGCTCCATCCAGATCATTAATAAAGATGTTAAACAGAAGTAGGCCCAGTAGCAATCTCTACGGTACACTGCTAGTTACTGGGCTCCAAGTAGGCCTTGTGCCACTGATCACTGATTAGCCAGAATCTTTTTTTTTTTTTCAGTGTGCCTCATGACAGCAAACAGGGCTTACATCTTCAAATCTTAATTTGCACACACAATCACCAAAATCTCTATCTGAAATCCAAATCCATACTTCAGCTTTTGTCTGTTCAGCTTCTGACTATTACACCATTGCCAGCTCTACTTAATCCACCTTTGCTGCAATTCTGTATTTCACATGAGTATCTCAGTCTTAAATTTATCCGTCCAGTGTTTTCACTTCAGTTGAAAAACAAGCAACACTTATTTTAAAAACAAAACCATCCACACCTTCTACTTAAATTGTAATAAAAAAGTTCAAAAGATGCCCTAAGTGCCTTTTCCTTACCTGTCTTAGTCGTTCAAGACTCAAAATGTTCTCCACTTGCAGTACTCCACGAGTGTATTTTTCAATATAAGTTTCACCATCAGATGTACCCTCATTCTCACTCCTTGCAGCCATCAGAGCTAAGGTCTCGCGATCCTCAATTTCTTCTGTAGCCTAAATTGCAAGTTACACTATTCAGCTTTTCAAATTGAAGTGTATTGTTTTTAAGGTGTTGATTCATTTACTTATATCATCTTGTATGGGAACTGCTGAGTCACGGCCTGAACCTCTGATTAATCACCTGAGGCGAGCAATGAGTCAGCCCTGGGAGCACAGGTGAAAGCAATTCACCTGTGCTGCAGGAAGGGGTGGAGCCTGGCTGCACCTCTCCTAGACCCATTTAAGAGCTGACTACCAGTGGGGAAGGATCTCTCTCTCTTTGGAAGATCCACTTCACTAGTCTTTCCTGAGTAAGCCCATTATGTGAGTAAGCATCCTATTTATTCTTTTTGTCTTGCTCTGCCTAACTCTCTTGCTTATTTCATTATTATAACATCTTAATATTATTTGATTATATAATATTCCTTTATATAATTTTCATTGATTATACACATCTCAATTCAGAAATTAATCTTAATCAGTAATCCTAATGATAATCAACAATCCAAGACTTTTCAACACACGTGTAAATGATGCTGAAAGAAAGTAAATGCAACTTCCTTCCTGAACCTTAGATTCTCTGCATAATTTCTCTAGAATTTAACTTCTAAGTACTATCAAAAGCAACAATTACATGGTGACTAAACTATTTGTTTTTATTTGTCCAGTTTACCTTCAAAATCAATTTTAGAATACATTTTCAATTTCTGCAAGTTTGTAATATAAAAATCAGTTTATATTCCTGTTGAAACTAATGTCTCAGCTGTTTTTCTGTCTTCATTGACCTGAATGCCCTTTTGAGTAGCCTCTCTATTCTCCCTGTAGTGGCTAATACAATTACAGAAACAGCACTACTACAAGAACACAGTTTACACAGTAAAAGAGAAAATAAAATCCTCACAGTTTTCTACTGTTTATAGGTAGAAATGATCTCACTATTGAGCTTCAGGGTATGCACTTTAGCAAGTTGCCTCATAACAATAAAGCAGGGCTCACTGCAATATGTTATTCTGTTACTTTCTATGAATTTGCCAGAGAAACATGGTACAATTTACCTTTGGTATATTAGATACTATTTCATAGGTCACTCCACAGGCATAATATATGTTTTTCAAGGATATTCTTCTTTTCAGGCTCTGGGTAAAACTCTAGAAATAAAATAATTTTCAGTTACTGCTCTGATAATGATTACTTACAGTGCTTTCAGACAAAAAGAAGTGGCAGTGCAAAAATTTATTTTACCACATAAGCACAATTTTCAGGACAATGATTTAGAAAGTTCCTTTTCAGTATTCACAGTCCTTAAAAGTACTTCTCACAGCCCTGTACTCAGTATAAAATGCTGCAAAGTTCAAATAGTAACTTATAGTAATTTACTCCTGCTTTTCACTGAAGCTCAGTTCCTGTGTAATAACCTGTAACTGAGAAACTGTGGTGTAGGAAGTCTCTAATATGCTAACGTTACTCATTTTGCCAGCCACTTGTTAAAAAAGCAGAAAATTCCTTTAGCTATAGCAAAGCACAGCTCTGATTTCTAGCCACAGCTGGGACAGCAGCCACAGCTTTCACTGTTGTAGTCACAGACTTAGTATGCTTTATTATCAGATTAGTTAGCCTTTACATCATGAACTTAACTTCCACCTCATGAGGCATTTTAGACAAATGAAACTAGCAAGGGAAAATTCTCAAATACACAAAGGCAGGAATTCAGCTATTAGTAAGTTATTTAGAAGCACAACAGCTAGTTGGTGTCTCAACTCCCCTTCCCACTGCAAAATATGAAGAAATTCTGAAATATGCTCTTGGTTTCAGTTATCTGGGAAACAGAAAGCAATGCAATTTTAGAGAGCATCTCGTTGTCTAAACTACTTTTTTGTTGTTGTAAAAGTAGTACCTGCCATACTCTGAACCAAATCAGGTTGAAAAATGAAGGGCTCGAAGGGCTATACCAGACAAGCACAGCATCACTGCAACCTATGCTAATCTCTTTTTAATTTGTCTTTAATGATAACAGGAGACAAGCAAAACAAAGCAAGCAGCTTGGAAAACATTCATAAAATCAGGTGTATAAAATTAGTAACAAAATATGAACTTATTACCTGCTTGTTATAAATATTGGCTGCAATCCTTTTCCGTAAGACCAGTTCCATTGCAGCAGGATGGCTGAGCTGCACAGTAGTCTTCACTATTAGGTAAATCCTCTCATTTTGAGGAGTTACTCTATTTAGATGCACTGAATCATGGACAGAAGAGTCCCAGGCAGCAGTGGCTGAAACCTACACAGAGGAATCACATGGAAAAAGGAAAACCAATGCTTCGATCACTTTAACAAATAATTTGCAATGATTTAACATGGCGTAAAACAATACTTCTGTGAAAGAGCAATAATTATCATTGAGTACATTAAGTAAATTAAGTAAAAATGATTTTGTAATAAGGAATGTATCAGAAGAACCATAAAAACAGGTGTTAAGACATGAAAGAACATGATGGAGCACACAATCCTTGCCCCAGAAGAAAGTTCACAACCAGAGAAAGGCAGAGGAGAAAGCAGAAGCAAAATTGAAGGAAGAAGAACAAACTGTATTGCATCTGTATTGAACATTTATTGAATTTAATGACAATGCTTCCACTTGTTAGATTAAGTTGCAATTTTCTACACAGAATAAACCTGTTCCCATACTGCAGGAAATCTTTTTCCTTCCCCGTCTCCTTCTGAATCTCAGCATGCCATTCATTCTGCAAATGATCTTTAAGTATTGGCTTGAGAAGGCACAGAAAGTGGAAGACATGCAAGTGGACTGATTCCAGATATGTTTTGGAACTTCGTATTTCCAACAATTCCCAATTTACTAGACTTAAAAAGGAATTGCGTACTACAAAAGAAAAAGTTTTGTTTAATCATTAAGCTTTGCCTTGTGAGGATGATAAGGGAAGCAGTTTCCTCTGAAAAATTAAAGAGTCCACAAGAGAAAGGATGAAGGGAGAAGGAGAAGAAATTTAATTTACCTCATCATCACTGTGTTTTATGATCGGCAGATAAAAGAATGGACTCCCATGCTCCTTTGGTAGTATTGAGTTAACTCCTGATGCATGGGGACCTATAAGTTGTTCATTGGCACTGAGGTCATCAGCTAATGAAACAAATGTGCAAAGAAGGAAACAGTTTTATACCAAAGGATATTAATATAGAGAGGCAAAGTTGTAATAATTTCATAATACATTTAGCCCTGATTAATCTTACCATGAATTATTTTAAAAATAATTCAAGCATACAAAATAGGAAGAAAACTAGGCTAAGATTCCCTCTGAACACATTCTCACATGACCTAAACAGAATTCCAATCTATTTTTAGGTATTCATGAAAGGAACTTACCCAGCCAGAAAGTTCCTAATTTACCTAAACAACTCATCTCTTATTTAAATCAGTTCTGATGTATCCAGATTGAGAACAGCAGTACTGGTAATGTTAGGTTTTTTTATAATACAAAAAAAAAATTGTTGTGCAATGATCCATAAATGTGTCCTATTGGTCTTCTGTTGGCTAAACTCTGCTTACAATGAAAAACAAAAACATTTCTTGTGAGCACTGATGATGGAATTTTTCAAAAGCAGTGTTCAAAGAAGATATTGGTGTGTTGCCTGTATAAACATGTCTAGGAGCACAATGATGTGCTGGATGTAACATGGCTTGTGGATCCTTCTCTACTTCATGTCTAAGAGTTTTATACTTTTGGACTTACTTCCTCAACAGCCCTTAAATATGGTGCTAACTGCAGTCTCTTGCTGCTTAACAGTGTGATTTTTGTTCTTAGAACACAGACAATAGTCTTCTCAAAGTTAAAACTAAGTGTTTTCAAAGGGAGAACAGTTAGATACTCTAACACCTCTTCATTAAACCATCTGTTTAAACCTCTACAGATAATTCAGATCTGTAACAGCTGGGAGATTCCCCAGTGTTCTTATGACCTGTGGATTTGTGCATCGAAATGCACACAAAATGTTTCTCTCTCTTCTTCCATTTAAATTAACTTGCTCTTTCACACAGTTTTTTGTTTAATAAACAATCCTTGTACTCATGCTCCCTGATTTGCACCTTAATTTTGAAGTAACTGTGCTTAATTATTCCAACATATGTAATCAGAAGAAAGAACATTCTACAATCTACACCAGACACTGCCATTGACAGAACTCTCTTAAGTCTCCTTAGATATTTAAGATGCACTATTCCATCTATCAATGCATCGCTAGAAACTAAATTTTATTATTTTCCTAAGTTTCTTAATCTGTCATTACAGCATACCATTCAAATCAAGGAAGAGGACGGGTATATGCGTTTCCATTCCTGCAGGTGGAATCCTGAAACAAAACAAATTGCTATCAACAAGGAAGACAAATACATGTCAAAACTAATTAGGATAAACTGATCTCTGGGAAAGATTCATATTAACTGTCATCAGTGACTAAAGCTGTCAACATTTTGATGGCTAATCTGATTGTGTTGCATAGACAGTGTTTTGCCTATCTCCACATGTAACTAAATATACTGCTTTATCAAAACTTAATTCACACACTTCAGTGCATTTCAATTGTTACAGTGATGACAGTTCTAAACATCCCACTCTGTTTCTTATAAAATTAACTGGCTGCACATAAAGGTTAGCAACCTTTCAAACAAATGAACAGGTAACTACTGAAAAGACAGTCTTCAAACAATACATGCATTTCTAGCTACATGACCTATACTTCAGGTGAATAAGGGGAAAAAAAAATTAAGTTTGAGAGGAAAAAATACTACTACATTATTCATCCAGAGAATAAGAGATTTAGGTATTATCAAGGACATCAGTGTACGCTTGATTAGACTTGTTATTTCTTGTCCATACTTTCCCAAATTTAACCTGATGCATTTTTAGTTTTTCAAGGTTAGTTCCAATGATCTTATTTAAAACAAAAATTTAAATGAAATTAAAGATACATTAGTAGAAACTTGAATGGAAGAAGAGAACAGCCTTTTCAATTAGAATATCTCCCTTCCGCACCCTGAACTCAATGAAATCATGTTCTATAGTTCATTTTATACACATTCCCCTGGTTTTTTGCTGAAAGGAGTCAAATTACAAGAATTTAAAACAAAACAATAACAAAGTAAGATACTTTTAAATTCAAAGGTGATGTTGAAACCTTCAAAGCTATCTCAAAACTACTTTACGTAGTAAGTTAACCAGCATCAGAACTCATGCCAGCTCTGTGTAATTTGTGGCAGTACAGGAAAATATAGGAAGCTATAAAACATCCTGAAATTTTTACCCTGTAAGTTCACAATGTTCCTACAGAAAAAGCTAACCACTCCAATGTTTTTTTTTTTTTGAACATACCAATTTGCAGGTGCACCGGGGATTCCACTGCCTGGTGCTGGAACAAACACTGCATTCCTTTCTTCTGTCAGCCCTACCCACTGTTCTACCAGGCGAGCTTCTCGTTCTATATCATCCTCAGATTTTTCTACAGAGGAAGAGGTTAATATGATATATAAGACACTTTTTTTTCTGTTGTTGATGAAATAGGGAATAAAGTACTTATGAGTCAGTTCTTAAGCTTCAAACCTTGTTTATTGCTGATCTTTTGAATCTGCTCATCTAAGTATTCTCTGCGTTTTATCAATGCATCAGACCATCTTTCTCGTACACAGTTTAAGTCTTCTTCCTAACATGGAAGAAAAAAGGAAGTTATTAACTTTGTGGTTAAGATCAAATGGCAGTGAATTTTATGATAGTTTCATCAGAACTGATATTAAAGAGCTTGCATGATGCAGAAAACTTTTTCCCCCAAATAACATGCATGCTAATTAAGTACCTCATCACCCATGAATGGAAGTTTATTTGCTTTCAAATCTCAAATTCCAAAAGGAGAAAAAGAAAATATGACAACCTCAGTTATTGAACAGGATTATACACCATAGGCTAATTATTCACAGAATCGGCAATTAAACTTTGTAATAGTGCATGGAATAGGAAAAACAGGTATAATGAGTTGATTGTAAGTTCTCCTGAAGATTAGACAGGTCAGCACACCCTCAAATCTGCATGAAATTCCACTGCTAGTAGTTGCTATCAGCGCAATTAAAAGGTTTCTCATGCAAACAAAACCCATCATGCAATCATGCTTTGTGGTATCACAGAAAATCTGGTTCATTCTTCTCTGTGATTTGTCAGGAAGCACGTGAACAGCCCGCAAGAAGTTAGTACCTAACTGGTATTTCTGAGGTTGCTGTAAAGTCTAACACATTATCTTGTGGGATGTCAGCATTCTCACCAAATTAAATTTACCTCTGAAGCTGCCTTCTAAAAATAAGACTTCTGTGTAAAATCTCTACCGTGTTCTACATTTTTAGGCAATTCTTCTTCTGGCCTTTGCCATCTTTTAAACAATTCTTCTTTCAAGTTTTCTCAACTTTGACTGCCCTACATTCACTTATCACAAATGAGCCACGTTCAAGGTTGCTAAGCTTGCAAATAGAAAATTTGCTTCACTGTACTTCTGTACTCTCCATCCTCTCATCCTCCACTTCTCTCCCACTAGCATTTCAGAAAACTGCACAACTCAAGAGGTTAAGATGCTTTCTTTATAAAATAAAATTAAAAAGCCATTTGTTGTGTAATTTGGTTGAGAAAAATTTCTGTACCTGCAGGGCTTTCCCCCTCATCTCCCCCCCAAGATACTCAATAGAAACTATTTTCATTTTAAATTCAAGTTTTATAAGTTTTTGTTCACATTGCAATTCCTGAAGCCCATTAGGAGAGCTGACTGCCAATAGAGAAAAGAACACACTGCAAGAGTGTAAAGTCATTAGATAAACTGAAATAGCAGTGTTTTATAGCCCAGGTAGCCTCTTAAATGCATAGCATATATTTCAAAGCTGCTTTTGCTTGCACCACTATGCTTGTTCATTTGAAAGCTGTTGGCTATTAGCATTAGCTGTGCCCCATGCCACAGGATTGACAGCAACAGCATCAATACCTGGTAACTATCCATATCACCACCATCATCCTCCTCCTTCTGGTAGGAGAAAATAAATTTTGTAAAAAACAAAAGAACATGCATTTTTCAACAGAAAAAATCACAGAAATACCCCCAAACCATGAGCGCAAACATTTCTTGACACAAACAAACTTGTAAAATGTTAAAATTACAACATTCAAGTAACCGAAGTCTTACTAACAGAGAGGATCAGATTTTTTCTTCATTACAGACTACAGCATCTCAGCCATGATTTTAGAAGTTATATTTAGCAAAAAAAGGAATGTATAGAATACAGCACCAGAAAAAGGACTGAGCAAGCATACAGCCAAACCTTACATTTACAGTTTTGTCTGTATATAAGGTTAGAATTACTTGTGGTTCTTAATGACTGAAAGTGCCATGCTTCCCTGGATGGCCTGTTCCACTTGTTCTTTGCTACTGCTATTAAAAGAATGCTTTGTTTTACAAATGAATTTGTCTGCCAGCAGCAACAAGTCATTCATATTTCTTAAGACCTGCTGCATTCAGTAACAGCTTAAAAAGATAAATGTTATATCACTGTAAGACATTATCCCTACTCATTTTCATTTTCTTTTATTCTTCAATTTGCACCATTCGTAGATGAGAGAGAAATTAACCAAATCATTAATCTGGTATTAATTTCACTGCTGCAAAAGTAAATACAAATTCCACATGCCTGGGGTCTTGCATATATCCAGATATCACACTTGGCTCTTTATCAGTTACACACTAAGTTAACAAGCAAGCTAAAAAAGAAGCAGTTTTAGCACCCTATACTCACATTAGCCTCAAACACATCTAAAACAGCAAGATAATGTATCATGTACCAGTGTGTCCCCCTTTTAGAACTTTTGGGCAGGATCTAGAATAGCAAAGTAAAAAGAGAAAATAAATCAATGCATGAAAAAGTAACTGTCTTACCTGATAGCTGTCCAAGCCCCTTTGCAATTTGGTTGATCTGGCAGTCACACCACCTATAGAGACTGAAAGAATTGCTTCTACCATGAGAGGCAACGTTCCTGAATGTTGTACAGGTTTCACTGTCACCTGAACTCTGCGAGAATGACCCTGAACAGGAAGATAATTGATAGAGAAAGACAGAGAGGGAGAGAGAAACAGAGGGAATCTAAGAATAAAATTAAGAATCAATTTAAGTACAAGCAAGGCAACAAGGAAAAAGACATACCTGCCTAAGCTGGAAAATCCCCCCTGTGTTTACATCCTTTGCCTGGTGGAGTTCAACTGCAGTATATTCTCCCATCTCATTCAATTCTTGTATGGAAATCCACATTTCTATTCTTCGAGTTACTTCATTCCACCTAAAAAGACATACCCACAAAAACTAATGGTTGCCTCATCAAAATATGCTAAGTGCACCACAGGTATTAGAAAGCCTCTGGAAAGCTGATGAAAACATCCATGCGTAATTCATACCTGTCTCTCAGTGTCCTTGTTTTAGCATGAAGAGAGTCAACTTCCCAAACAGAGGTGCCGTTGCCTGTACATCTGTGACCCCACACCTCAATAGCAAGAGCTCCTTCTGAAATGAATTCCAAAAACTCCTCTGTGACATTCACCACGTAGTCCTAGAAATCAGAAATAAAACCACATTACAACCAATGAAACAAAATAATTGCAAATCCTCAATTGGTTTGCAAAGACACACCAAACAATTGCATGATACAAACATACAGCTCAGATTATAAAGCTTGACAGGTCAACAGGTTGTGAAACAAATCATCTCAGCAAATCATGCTTCTTGCTCATGCATATTGAGTACTGTGCTTTCAAAATTTACATAAAAGCCCCACTGCAGCTCCAATAAGACTTTTAAAGTTACTGAGCTTATCAAACAACTGTACAAAATATCCTCTGTACACACTGAAGATGACAACTGAACTTATATGATCATTTTCCTTTTTACTGCATTACAAAGAGATGATGAAATGAAAAATCATAGCACTCAAAAGTGTTTTCAAAACTCGTTAGTTATATAATTTGATTCCATCCTTCCTCCCCCAGGGAAAACAACACTTAAACTCTAAACAAAATCAAATATAACATCCTACCATAATATTGTTTCATGCTAAAAATAATTACCCTACAATGAGAGAAGGTCACTGTAAAATGAGCATCTTTGCTCTGAGGTGAAGGCACATCTGGATCTACAATTGGTGCTGCTACTGTTGACTCGCACTGATCCCAAAATGTGTATTGACAAAAGACAAAGTTGGAGAGATTAGGTGGCAGTCCGGTTGCTTCCTTTATTTTTACCTGAGTAGACAAGATGGATGTACTCATAAATACCATTATTCCTTCAATTATAAACTGCTTAAGAAGAAACTATTTAAACAAGAATTATCAACAACCAAGATTTTTTGAAAGGATATCTCTGATTGCCTCTTAAAGGTGACCCTACTCAGGAAATCTGTATTTTGCATATACAGAAATGCAGATGCAAGGAGAATAGGTACATGCATCTAACTAGCCTACCCATGCATTTGCCTTCTTTGAGGAAGACAATATTCTGAGTGAAGAACTTTTTCATAAAAGAAGAAATGAAATCCAGACACCAGCCACTGATACTTCATTAGATAATCAAACAAATCATAGCAAGCTGATATATGGAAAAACTATTTCCCCTTCTGTGTCTGCCATGAAAGACAGCCCTTGTAATGTCAGTATTTATTATATAAATCTACATATACCAGAAACTAACGCTGATCAGTTCAGTTACTGGCAAGCATGGCCAGTGAGACTGGCATGCACTGAACAGGAACCAAAAGAAGTCACTCTCTTTTAAGAAAACTGTTTTATCTTTATAAAATTTAATGCAATAAATTGTTTACATAGTTTTGTAGTTAAGACTGACTACACAGTTACAAAGGTCTGAAACTGTTAAATTCATCATGTGCTCTCACTTACCCTGCAGGAGAGCTTTTTTGCTCTGTGAATAATTTCTCCATTGTTATCCATGACTTCCAGACTCCCACTCTCACTGGAGTTCTCAGATGAGTCATCTCCTTCTACCACACGTTCTGGGACAGACCCAGTGACTCGCATTACTTCAACATGCAATCGTCCTGCAACCTAAGGCAAGAAAAATACTAAGAATCAATGCTTTTCAAAGGAAAAGATGGTAGATATCTTATTACTCTAGGAGGCATACAGAGACTGCTAACTAGCACTGAATGTTAGAACTGAACAGCTCACAACTATCACATGAAAAGTAACAAAAAAGAAGAGAAAACAATATAAAGAAGTTGTATTTATGCAGAACTATTAAGCTTTTTTTTAAGAACAAACAAACAAACGTTATCCACATAGGTATGAATGCACAGGTGGGAATCAGGACACTATTTCGCTTTACCTCCCCCTGCTGGCTGATGATAGGCACAGCGTATTGCAGCTTAACATCATAGAAAAGGCACTCCAAAAACACGTTTGCCACACCAATTAAGTTATGATTCTCTTGTGCTTCATAAAAAGGATCACCTCTTTTGCCAATGAGCTTCCTTATCTGTTTTAAAGAGCACAAAAGATATTTCAAAAACTTTAAGCATGAAAATCAAAATTGGATAACCAAGGAATACAAGATCACAACACAAAAATTAAGTCACTATCACGTTTCTGCTCTTTCCTCTTACACAAACAGAAAGGGAAATCTAAAATGAAATCTTTGAGATGAGACATACAATCCTTTCTTTACTATGGTAAGTAGTAACATAAGGATGTCTTTACTTTTTAAATGAAAGCACAAACAATCCTCAAGACGAAGAGCTGTTATGGCTGCTGGCAGCCACTACTTGGGCAAAAAGGAATTTGCAGGATTACTCTTACTTAAGCCTACAATTGCTACTATGATTACTCAAGAGTCAGCATCTTGTGTATTATGATTTTAAAGATTCCCATTGTCTGTCTTGTCTAAGGCAGTGAACAAAAGCACAATTCTGTTCAAACATATCTGGGGATGATTCTTGTTACAAATAATTCAGGTGCTCCGTATCGGCCATATGACAGTAAGATACACCTGTGATGTAAACCAAGAAGATGTAAACCAAGTCCTACACTCATTTCTAAATCTGATCTGCTACTTAGATTCTCAGGAAACACCACTTGGTTCTCATACAGATACTGATGCAGACTACATAATCTTAATTGATTTCTTCACTCTTTTATGGCTAGAGGATATATAACCAAAATTACAGGATATTTATCATTTTAAAATCAAGTTCTACCCCATTGATGTGATCTGCACTTGAAATGTAATTAAGCAGCATGGGCACTCTAGTCATTCAAGCTACTTTTGATACTGACCAATGTTTAATCACTATTTCCAGCTTGCTGTTTCCATTCAGAGTTATCCGAATGGCATTTGTATAATGGAAGGTAAACATAAGTCTTAACTGCTGTCATGAGTCAGTCACTAGCTTAGCACAACCATATCTGAGAGTGTAAGTGAGGATAAGACATACCTGTGTTTTACTCCGCATAGGCATTTTGTTCTCAGTTGTTTCTTTTTTCACCACAGTACCACACTCTTTCATATATTAACTCATTGCACTTCATCTGTGCAACATACTGAAAGGGGCTAGAAGAAAATTAACTGTGATCCCTTTCAAAAATAAATATTTCATACCTCAGGAATTTTCTCCTTCCACTCTTGATAGAGATCTCTCATGTCAATCAATTTGTTCTCCAGTTTCTCAATAGTCCACACTTGAGTAGTCTTTCCTTTTCTTCTCACTTGAATAGCAGGCTCACTCACTATTGCACCCCTCTAAGCCAGAAGAAAAAAAATAACAACTGTAGGAACAGTGCATGAATGTGAGTAGTTTAACCTTTCACTCAAATTGTACTCCTAAAAAGGAATAAAATAGACAATATACAGCTTCCTCTGCATGCCAGCCATACCATCTCTGTCCTCTATCACAGCATATCCTTACACATCTCTGAAGATTCAGACCTTTTTTTTTCTTCTTAAACAACTTCTATTTACACACTACCATTAACAACTCTCAGTCTTATAACTGACTTATCATAAATAACTTACGATGAGAATATTATTTTAATTGCTACCATTATATTTACAGCTACACTACAACAGGAAAGCACTTTAGAAAAAGTTACAAGGATCTTAAAATAGGTCATTTTTGCAAACAACTAAAATGCAGCACTTTACTCAAATTTTACAGCAACAGAACAGAAATGTCTGGTCACAAACCACCTTCATATACTCTTATCACACACTTGAAAGAACACTAAGAGCCATACTTAATATTGTATTGTCATTTTTATGTTAATCACTTTCAATATATTAAAATCAAGTAGCAGCTATGTTTTGCCTACACAATCTAACAAAAATAAAATTTTATGGCCTTAAGTTGAAGATGAATGTTAAATACATCTGCGTTTTTTTATTAAGAATAAAACTATTTCATTTTCCAGCTATTACCTTTTTGTTGGCACTGAGGTTTTCAGCAGGGATTTGAAGTGTTACTTGATAATCTGTCAGCTTACTCATTTCTTCTGCTAAGAAGTTTGCTTCTCTCACCAGCGTATTTGCTTTCACTATCTGCTCTCGAAGTTTAGCCAGGCTCTGTCGAAACAATTCATCCCTGCGGTGCAGTAGGGAACATGAAAAATACACAGAAACCTATTTCTATTATTGGAAAGCTGCAAATAGAGGTGCTAACAAAGAATTTTCTGAAGCAAGTTTAAGAAGAAATGCCAAACTTCACTACGTCAGCAAACTCGAAAGTGTTGGACAGTTTTATAAAGGAAAAACAGTGATCACATATTAAACAAATATATTATTGTAGAGATAAGTCTTGCAAAGTAATGCCCCCAAAAAAAGGGCACTATAAAAGATGTTACGGTGATAATTTGTTAAGAGCCCTAGGAATATTCTTTCAAGAAATGAAATAATTGCAGTTGTCTTTGCCTTTCATCTATAGTCAAGTTGCACAGAAACTACCAGTCCCAACATGTAATATTTTATCTTAATAAAAACTGTTCTTCCTCATATTGTGACATTGGAATCTGAAATCATTGCAGGCCAAAGCTTTACACTACAGTCAGGGCTTTGCAAGTTCTACAGACTCTTGGATTATCCTGCATATATTGAAGCAACCTCAAATGTATATATTAAAAAACCACCGTAAATCCTATTTACCAAGAGTAGCTTTTAACTAAATCAATGAATGAGCACAGGTTAAAGCTGCTGCATTCTGTACACACAACAGTATCTGGACAAATTCCAGAAAGGTTTGTAGGGCCTGTCTGAGCAAATCACTTCTAACATATAACCCGGCAAACGTGCTGTGACACACACTATATCTCCACCTGCAATGCACTCATACCTGGGAGTCTTATCTAAAAAGCAAGTTAAAGAAGTTTCACAACTATCCTTTGAGTAAACAGGAAGATCCCCTTTCTGCCTTCCTTGTAACCCCAACAGAACTTACTGTGTCCCATCACCTTCTGCAAAATGATCATGATCAAATTTCAGATTTTTCAGTGACCAAACATTCCCTCGAATGAATTTCCATTGCACTCTGACTCTTCCCTGATACTGTATCGAGGTGACAAAGTACTAACAGCATCAGCACATAGGACTGAATTTTCTAGAGCCTTCAATGTGATAAAACATGCTGCTTTGTCTCTCTCACCTATCTGGCCTGAGCTTGCAACAGTGGTGGATTTTGCTGGAACTTAAAGAGTTGCTAAAGCAGTTGAAGTCCACTTTCTGCATATATACTCCAGGTGTTACATGGAAATTTTCTCTCCTGCTTCTATTAGTCTGGCTCTAAAGATTAAGCGAGCAATGCTGGCCCACTGGAGTGACGCATCCCACAGACTGCTCTAATTTTGGATTCACCCAGAAAATGAAGATGAGTGAAAGATTACTCATTAAGCAGTACTTCGTGCTGAGTGTCTGTTACACCTGCAACCACTGCAAAACAGCTATCCCATTTGAGAAGCAGAAGACAGTTTTCATCTGTAAATGCTTTAGGATTCAGCTACAGCCAGTCCTTTCCCTCACTCAGGAGCCTGCATCTGGCTAGCTTTTTGGGGTTGCTCCCACACCATCCTTATCTTTGCTAGCTCTTTGAGAAAGAGATGGTTTAAGACTATGAGGACTTACAAGCAGTAATGACAGCTCAAGCAACTATTATGGGTAGCTCTGATTTTCTAATGGCAGTTATTTTTCTGCTGCTACGGCATCATTCTTCCAGAAACTTAGCTAAAAAATATATTTCAGATGACCTTCCTAAATTTGTACTACACAAAAAACATGACAAACTTTGTCTGTGTGTTAGCCACAGCAAATATCCACTGAACATGAAATACTCAAACACTTGTTTAAGCCAAGCACTAGAGAAACCTTCAAATCTCACACTCACTAAGTGTCACTGCAAGTCTCTTGGGTCCTCAGTGCCAGAGACAGAATGCTGACTCAGAACAAACTATAGCTCTGCTCCAGTACACCACCACCAGTCACCCAACAGATACATTTGTTCAAAGTTACAATGGATTTACTTTACACCAAGGGGTTTTAGCACTGTATCAGGTATCATCTGTCCTCCCACAGTCAGCATAAAGCTAGAATAAACTCTGCGTAATGTATTCTAGCTAATCTGACAGACACAACCATGTGCCCACATCTGATGCTTATCAAATTCCTTCCGCTGGCTGATCCAGTAGGGTTCAGCTCTATTAGCAACAGAATGACAGCCAAAACAGCATTAACCAAACCCTATGCAACCCAGACACTTGGTCTTTCACGTGTTCTTTGCACTGAGTCTTCTCGTGTTTTCTGCATTTCTTGCCCTCTGGCCAGTTGGCTGGTGAATATCCTCTACAAGGATTTGTTGCCATACTTTTACAAAAGAAATACATGAAGTCCACAGCCAATACACTTGTTCAAAGCTCAGCTCCCCCCCCCTAAAAATCTTCTAACAAATAGTCAGAAGAGAAGCCTAGCAGAACTCAGTTTTGATACCACTCCAGATTTTCATTTTTATGTCATTTTGTGGTTACAGTGTCTGGTTAATTTTTAGACTATCAATTACAGTTTTATCTTTCTGACCCTCAGGGACAAGAATGCTTTTTTCTGCTGTTTCCTCCTTTCTGTTGCATCTCTTAGAGATACTGCTTCCTTTGCCCATAAGCCCACTTCTCAACATGTATTTCTCCTGTAAAAGTATGGCAACTGAAGTGGGTTATCAATGATATCTTGATTGCATTGCTGTGTTCGAAGTTAAACAGCAGTGATTCAGACTGGAGCGTTCTTTATTTCACACTCCTCTGCATTACTAAAACAGCCTGCAAATCACAACTGTGACTCTGCAATACTTTACATTCAGTTCACAATACAACAATTCTTTTTTTAGCTCTTACAGGGGCAAACAATTATTTTAACTGAAGTTGAAACAGAGCAATGCTTCTCCCTAAGCTTGCCATGGAAAACATTTTAGGCATCATGGCTGAGCGTGTGAACAGACTGCTTTTTTTTTCCAGGCCAAACTTGGCAGAAATTACAAAACAAAAGCACACATAATAACTAAACTAAGATCTCTTCTGTTCTATTTTTAACATTTTGAATTTGAAGGCTGCAACACAACATTGGCTTCCGTTATTTAGACAATTCTTGTACATTAAGTTATTTATGGTGAAAGGCAAAGCAAAAATAAATGAAAAATAAATGAAAAAATAAATGAAATAGGAAAGTGCATTCAAACTCTCCACATATAGAAAAAGCAATAAGTAAACAATGAAGTTTTATTTTAAAAAGAAGATAGATGCTTACAAGTAACCTATTAGTACACCTCATCATCCTTCCTGCTGAACAAACCTAAGGACAGAATACTTGCTTGTACAATGGAAACCTGTCAGACAAAAAAAATCATCTGGGTGATGATTTGGAACTCCATGGAGCTGATGTCCTTCTCTCCGCAGTGATACAAAATATAAGCTTCCCTCTGCTGAGATGCACATACACACTGCTTAAACTCAGCTCACAACTTCTTGATCTACTTATTAAGCTCCTCCTGCAATCCAGATCTTTTACCAGAGCTTTGTTCAGGTGCCATGCTACTCCTTTGCAAAGAGCTTTCTGTATTTTCACCTCATTGCAAGCCTCTTCTTCCTTAACAGCTCTAATATACTCTATTTGACTACCTGCAGTTCTCAAAGTTAAGGCAATCCTCTTCTAAAGCTGGACTTACTTTAGAAACACATATGCACAAAACTGAAAGACTCGCATTATTATATTTTTTGTAGTTTCAGACTGCAAAATCCTGTATTTTCATTGGATACTCTCAAACACACAATAATCCTTTGTGGACACTTCAGCATGAAATGACAAATTTATTCATATGCTATCCTTTCCTTTCTTCTAACTTAGATATTAAACCAAACATTTCAGAAGCACGTTAAGTAATAAAATAATTTAGAAGTACTGTAAGGCTGATCAATATAAGCTAAATTTTGATTTCATATCACGTTGTATCAAACAGGAAGATGTTGTATATGCACTAGGGATTAGAATCTAGCCCTAATTAAGGCCCTAACACTTTGATGGAGGCAAATCTTAATTCTACAAAAAAAAAAAATCATTTCTGACAGACTGTTCAAGTCCCATCTTTCACTTAGAGCCCTTCCTTTGTAGTTCTTACTGATTCCTTTAAGTCCAGCATTCCTCCCGCATTCTCACCTCTCTTCTGTCCACAGATTTACTTTCTGCTGTGCAGTCTGAGCAGTGTAGGAGAGTCTGTCACTGCCATGCTGATGCTGCCTTTCAGGAGAGAGCTGCTGCCGCAGCTGCTCTAACTCACGTTCGTACATCAGCCGCTGCTCTTCAAGAGCACTCCGCTTCTCTTCCAGGTACTGTTTCTCCAAGATCTGTACCACATTTTGTACTGGGTCTGAGACAAAATAATAATAATAATAAAGGGAAAACGTCACTTTCTTCATTTGTATGGTAACAGTAATCAAGATAGCCCAGACTCTTTGCAAACACTGGATATGCGTTGCCCCCAAAAACGAAACCCAAAATAATAAGTACCAAATTCAATAAGTAAATTCAAACAAGAAAAATGTCATGCAAAGAAGCTACAACAACAGCTAACATCCTCCTTTACTGTGTACGTCAGTACTGGGGATTTATAGCATGTTCCAGAATCTCAGTAGGAAAAAAAGAATACATGGAAAAATGAACAAACCAGTAAGAAGAAAACAAGGAAACAAAGCAAAATACAAGGGAAGATGATGTTAACCAGAGAAGGAAATTATCTCAGGAAGTAAAAAGCTATTTACTTTCTCCATTTTGGCAGAGAATGAGACATTGAATAGCTGCAGATGAAAACTGAGACAAACAGCTAAAGGGTCATGCACCACAATTCACCAATGCACTTCACAACACTGAAGCAGACAATGTTCCGGAGGGGACTACAAAGTACATTTCATCTCAGAATTGTCCGGAGCAAATACCCAGTTAAATACTATGACTTGAAACAACTGCTTGTATCAATTAACTATAGTTAAACCTAAATTACATCCAAATTAAAGGTCTAATGTCAGTTTTAGGTTCAGTGGCAAGTCTGAAAGAGAATCTAACAGAAAAGCTTCTCCTATATACTATCAGTATGTGTATGTATATATATACATACGTATATACACATGCATACACACACACACACACCTTCTTCATGCATATACATCTGAAATCTTAAGTATAGCCAAAATCTGGTTTGCAAAAGAAATCAGTTTAGATTAATATATTATAGTGACAGCACACCGTATAACAATTGCTCATTATATATACCAGAAAGGTAAGGAGGAGGAGGGGGTTCCATAGTTGGAGTGGTAGAATATTAAATGGAGAAAGTAACATTGCAGGTCTAGGACGTGCCAAGATTTATAAACAAACAAAAAAAACCACCTTCAGTTTTAAAATAATTCTTTGTGATATCTCTTCCATTTTGAAGACTAAAAAAAATTTTGTTGTGACTTTTAAGGATGTCAGCCTGTCAAAAAGGGGAAAAATGAACCTACATTTAATTATACTGCCCTGTTTCAGAACTCAAAATCTACTTCTCAAATACTAATAATTATCAGTGTGATTTAGTTATGAATCACCTTGTGTTCACTACTGAAATCCAGACTTAAAATTTGTGCGTGAGTGTTCCTGATACTACAAGGCTACATGAAACAAAATTTGGGTTACGACAGCATTCAGTAGAGGATTCCATAGCTTCCATAGAGGATTAATCAACAGCACTATATGCAGGTCAGCACAGCTGGCACATACAGTCTGCCCCCACACAGATCCCTTGTATTTCTAGAAATGTGGTATTACTGTATTCAGTAACACATAACAACCTACTTAGTACTAAGACTGAATTTGTTAAACTAAAGCACTGTTTGTGATTTCAACATGTATGGATACCTAGGAGAGTCATTTCACAAAACAAATCCTTCCCACTATAAATGCCAGAAAAGCAATCAGGATCTCTGGGGATCTGTTGTTACAGTGGATTTTTATTCGCCTCTCAGCAAACTTTTTGAAATACTGAGATTTATGTAAAGCACATCTTTATTTTTGGCAGAAAACAGTTATAATTGTAGATTGTTACAGTAGCCCACATCTTGTCAGTGAAAGAAACCACTGGTTTCACACAAAGGCATCTTAAAGTTCCACCATGATGGCTTTTTTAAGTAATGAAGTTAAAAAACTGTCAATATAAATAGCAACCAAACAGCAAAACAGTGATCCAGATGTGCCTTAAAATAATCAGAATTAGCAATTTTTAGTACATGATGTTCTCAGGAGTCTGTTAAGCTATTTTTGGCGTTTAAACAGACAACGCAGCAAAAACAACTGACTAAAATGAATTTTAATATTCTAAACTACAAACCAAGTTACTCACGTTGACCTGCATCCTCCTCCTAACTCATTCTGATAATACCAGACATCTTCACATGCATAGATTTCTTGTATAATCCTTAACATAGTTTTAATTATGCATAAGAATAGCTGAGAAATCAGGTATTAAGCAGCAGGCAGAGAAGAGGAATGGAAGAAATTAAGGTCTATTGTGTTTGGAAACACAGGAAATGAATCTAAGGCTGAGTCATTAAGACTTTTCCTAAATTGCTCCAAGACCAGCTCCAGTGTCAGGGAGCAGTTCTTTCATAACAGTGATTTTTTTTTCAGCTCCTGACATTTACAGAATCACAGCTACTTTAAGATACCAGGGAAAACATTTGGCAAATGATGCAAAAAGCTAGTCCAACATTTCTAATTTAAACCAATTTCGTTACTGTGGTGGGGGAGAGACTATGCTTGTATTGCAATGCAAAACAAATTTACACCTTAGAAAAGCCTCCAATTCATTTCTTGAAAAAGATTCACATAGAAAAAGCGAAGTCTTATAGTGAAAAACTAAACATACAGTTGGAAGATGAAAAAATTAACATTTTCACAGCTCAGAAGAACTGCAAACAATGTTTAAGCTGGATTTAAATACTATAATCCACTATTTTGGATTGCCCATGCAAAGTCAAATTAGGCAAGATTCTACCTGGTGCTTGCCAAATGCACAGTAAATTCCATACAGTGTGAGAAGCATTGTCACACCTCTCCACTTATTTATGTGGCAAAAATAGTTCAGTGGTTCCAACAAGACCATCCATACGCAGTTAGATCTCTGCAAACTGTTAGAATATTACTGTTTTATAAAAAGAGTACTTTTATAAAAAGAATGTACAAATGGTGTTTGGTTACCTTGCTGCATTTTTACATAATTCACACCAGGAATCTGTTAATCCAGTAATAACAATGCTGAATAAAATATTTCAGATTTCATGTATGTGCAGTTTTCTAAGCAAGCTAGGAAGAGGTTCTGACATGTACTGCTTTGCTGAACTCCATCAAAATCCCCACCCTGAGCTGTACTTTTTTGCTTGCTCAAATGAGAAAGTGTGTAACCTAATCTCATTGTTTACTTAGCCACTGCACCCTATACAGGAATAAATCCTTGTCAGATCAGCATCACAAAGTTGTGGTACAATGCTGATCTGACAGAATCCCATGAAAAAGGTGAATGTGTTGAAACAGGGCGGGAAGAATCAGGATGTTTTCTTTACAGCTCTTTTCAAAGTTTCACATTTTCCTCATTATCCTCAGAGTTTCTCAGGAGCCAGATGTAAAATGTGACACTGCTGTAACTGCTTATATGCTACAAAATCTAATGGTTATGCTCAGCAGAAACCAGGGTATTTACTTATAGGGAGTTACTGTTCTCAACTATATAAAACTAGATGAATGGAAAAAAAAACACAAAGCAAAAGATAAAAAAACCTCTTGGCTCTAGGCTATATCAAGTTCTGATATGAAAGAAGAAAACTAAACCCCAAAGTAATCATATATCAAATTTAAAACCAAACAAAACAAAGCTTGCTCTGCCCCGGTGTCTTTTTTTTCCAAAGAATATAAATGATAGAATTACTAGGCATCAGTTAATTCATTATTTCTTCTATTTCCCCCATATTTATTTTCCCACCATAAATAAATAGTGTTGAAACAAATCTGCTGTACTTTCTACTCAACAAACTCAAAGCCTGTCAGAAAACTGATTTAGATATACTATCAAGAATCAAATTGGTAAAATGCTATCTAGCTTGGAATTAGAAGATGAGCCAATGACACTCACAGCTGCTTGCTTTGTCAGGGTTTTATTATCAATTATTACTCCCTCTTAGTTCAGAGCACCTATAGAGGAGGGAGCAGAAGAGATGAGAAGTGGTATAAGGGGGTTATGATGCCTCTGAAATTGTTTGCAGTCACACACCACACACCTGCTGTGCATTAGGAAGGAAGCAGCTCTACTAGAAAAGCAAAGTCTGCGCTTCAGTAAAGACATGGAAAACAACCCAGCTAAGACTAAGATAGGCTTGGACCAAAGTCAAGAAAGCCTACTGAATTGAAATGTAAAGATGTCTGAAGTATTGTTAAGAATGATTACCATCAGCTAGACAATAACACATGGAATTCAAAATAAGGGTCCCTCCACTCAAAGAGTACTAACTTATTGTTGACTGCTGCAGTTTATTCAAACTCTCAGTTAGTGACAAGCAGATCAAGCATCAATTAATGCTTTCAAATTTCTCCAGCAGTATCATGCATGAGCCAATCAAGTTCAAAACCTTTATCCCAGTTTTGGCACAGACATGGGATGGTTTGAGACCTTAAAACAGGCAACAGAGTCTTCACAAGGGATGACAACACTGAAGACCACCAGGATGGTAGATTCATCTGAAATTCGTCTCCTGGTATGAGTGAACCATAACGAGAATAACTGTTATCACACAATAACTTCATTTCCACCTTAAATAGTCTGAACCTGCAACTCACTCGCACACACACACAAAACATTAAAATCACAATCAGACCATAAAAATGTGCAAGTGATTTCTACAGAATTATGCATAAGGAAACAATCATGCTGTAGTCAAAAGCAAAAAAATAAGGAAGCTGAAGAGGAGACCAAGAAAAAAAAATCACTACTGAATTTCAACAGCTGAACCACAGCAAAGAATGGAAATATTACGAAGATACAAAGAAAGATCAGAAAAAAATGAAATGCCATCTACTGTGTTGTCTTGGTCAGAGAAAAAAAAAAGGCATTTGCTTCTGAAATTTTGAGCAGTTAGAAAACCTGTACAAAGCACTCAGCACTTCACTAAGTTTTTCATCATTTCTTCATCCCATATTATAACACATGAATTCTGAATTGCCTTCTGGAAGCCAAGACAATATCATGTCATTTTATACACATTTTAAATACACCATATATCATGCCATTTTTTATCTAGAATAACTGTCCAGAAAAGGCATCACAATAGGTTTTGACAAACTTCAATTAAAAACAACTTCACAGTGATCAAGAAGCTAAAAATTACACTAGCTAATGTTTTTGACTACAGCCTCGTTAAGGTTTCCATGTCTTTTTAACCTAGTTATGGTGATGCTGGTAATGTTCAATGCAAAAGGAAGGATGAATCAGACATAACCGAAGCACATTTCTATCTGGAACAACCTGCAAAACTCAAAGTCAGAAGGACTTAGATGATGATTTTACTTGCACGATTACATTTCAACTGCACTATAAGGATTAGCAGACATACAGGTGAAACTGTATGTCTGGGCAGAAGCAAATTCGTAATTTTCTCAGCTACATTTCTTCTTACCTCTTAGACCATTTGCTCAGTAATTAAATTAAATTAAATATTTATATCAAGGCTTTAACACAGGCAACAAAATCTTTCTGAAGGGTGACAATACCAAAGATCACCCAAACAGTATGTGTATATATGTGTGAACATATATATGTACACATATTTATATGTAAATATCCATTCAGTTGTAAGTGTGTGTATACAATCTATATATCTATACATGCACAGATTATATACACACACGTGTGCACTTACAACTGAGTGGATATTTACACCTGATATTTCTGTTAAACACTTTTTGCTGAAAATGCCCCAAGGCCACTGGAGTAACTGTATCATTTGTTTTTAATCTAGAAATTAAGTTACATTCTGAATTTATTAAATGATCTCCACAAAAAAAAAGATCTTTGGACATCTTAACTGTCAGTTCTCTTACCATTACTATTCAGTGTCTTCATAATAACTTCCATTTGAGCAAACTCATAGTTATAGTCTGGTTCTGAAGAAGCTTCACTGGCTGCATCCAGATCATGCTCTCCTAACAAAGCTTCTTTCTCAAAGTCTTTCAGCCAATCTCGTCGTTTCCTCTTTGGTAAATTGATTCTGTGTAAAAATAAAAATTCAGTTTCTAAAAGGTTTATGAAGAACAGTGCAGGGAAAAAAAGACCGAATGTAAGAAAGCTGGTAAATAAATATAAACTATTACCTAAAAAAGTGGTTGTTTCCCCATAATATTCTATCTCCATGCCATAACTGAGTGACAGAACACACCAGTGTACCATTTACACAGGATCTGAAAAAAGAAAATTCAACTTCAGAAAAATCCTAAAACGAAATGGTTGAGAAGTATTGTTTCTCCCACATACAGTGATTTATATTACATAATGTACAAATCATCTAGGTTCTCATTAAAGTATGAATGAGACAGTTACTGGTTTGATTCCTTGCATCAGAAGTAAAAACAAAACCTCTTTCCCTTTCAGCTCTGACTGTTGCAAATTTTCAGTAAATAGATAAGATTACTGTTAGCTGATCTTTCTTTTTATTGCCCATTTTTCAAACTGGGTCACTATCTGTTTCTTATGAAGTCTACAAACTTGGTTGCATATAAATCCTGTTGACAGAACTCTCCAAGGTACAGATTAATCCACGCATGTAAAACATACTGCTAACATACAAGGCACTCAACTATAAGAAAAGACCCTAAGATCTAAATTGCATACTTGTAAGTAACTAAGCAGTAAAGTTAAGGCAATAGTACTGCTTATCTTTTGTCATCAGAGATTAAGTGATAAAGACATTAAGAATCCACAGCAGAAACAAAAGGAGAATACGACTTCACAACACATGTTTAATCAACACAATAGTAATGGTGGTCTTTGGATCTCTTTTCTCACCTCTTCTCTCAGAAAATACCAAGCTTTACAAAAGGAACTTCTCAGAGGCAAGTTTTCTCCTCCCACATTAAGAACCAGCCTCCTATCCCATCATCAGGTTGAAATAGCCAGGAGCAACTCTGTCACCTTGCTACCAGAAATATACATATAAGCAATGGTTCCTCATTCGTAATGATTATGTTCTTATAAAGGTTTATTCTGAGCTAAACCACTAATAGCTCATTATTAGGTAGTGGCATGTGGGGGTGTGTGAGGAAATCTTGGTTTTATCTCTGAATTTCACCTTCTACGTATCTAAGTCACTTATACCACAGCTACTCATTGATCAAAAAAAGATATCTGACTTGGTAAGATAAAAACACATGCAAGTCATCTTCTGGTAATGAAAAGCAAACACTTTGCTGAAGAGCAAACAAGTGTTGTTGATCGTCCTTACCTGGCATTTTCTTTTGGTGTGAGTGTGACTTCTCCATCCAAAGCAATATCAATCTCACAGTGCTCAGGTTGGATTCCTATACCAAAGAGCTGTATGTCCTGAGAAGTATCTGCACCAACTCTTGTGTGATCCTGAAAAACAAGCTATTACTAAGAGAGAAGCAAACTATTGCTGTTTACATAACTAAAGCAATATTAGTTGAAGTACTGAGGCTCCACCACCTACATGTGCCCTTTGCTAGGTACTTTTATAGAGCAGAAATGATGCCACAGTAGATCTGAGGACTGGAAAGGTCTCTCATACACTTCTGTTCTGCTCTGCACTTTATCTTCCTCCAGCTTCAAGCAAAGCAAAATAAAGCAGCTGATAGACAATTTCTGATTTTAAAATACTCCCAGACTATGCATACATACAAACAATAATACAGAGAATAATACAGAGAAGAAAACAAGCCATGTCATGCAGCCATGTGGAACAAAGGATAACAAGGAAAGTAAAACAAGACACACAGAATTGGCTGCTTTTCAGAAGACAGCTATATTAATAATGCAGCTAAACATACTAATCTCCACATAATTGCAAATCATACCATAAATCTGGCTGAAAAACTGTATTTTACTATTATATAAGTTGTACTCTATTTGTTACTGTTCAAATATAAAAGCCTTATCTCAACCACTAAAGCAGAAAAATACTCATAAAACACATAAGATAGTCTTTTCTATCTTGTTAACAAGAAACTCCTGCTTACCAAGTATTTCCTACTCAGCCTGCCTTATTAGGTTTGCATTTGAAACTCCGACAGGAAGACTATTCTAAACTGAATGGTATGGAAGATAGTAGAACAAGGAAAAAGTATTTCAGCATATTCTTAACAGGGCTTCCTTCTCACTTTCTCTCCTCACCTGGCACCTTCTTTCTTTTTTTTTTTTTTTTTTTTTTTTTTAAAGCTTTTTCTCCCACTGAAGCCTATACTTACTCCTACAATTATGGCTAAACATGATCCCTTTACACTCTAACTCACTGAATATTTAAGAAAATTCTCAACTCACTAACAAAAAGAAGCATCTTATACTAGGCTCTTACTTCAGGAAGAACAGCTCTTTAGTGCAAAAAGTAATTCTATACACATCCTGTCTGAAAAACCTAGTATTTATCTCAGTTCTGGCAAATACTGAACACTTCTTCCACTGCTGGCAACCAGTAGATCAATTAGGAAACTACTGAAGCTGAAGGGAAAAAGTAAACCTGAACAGCAGGAGGAGTCCTATTCTACTTTACTGCAACTAGTCTTATCAATCTAAATACACTCTGAATTATAAATCAATCCAGAAATCAAAAACAATAAATATCCTTCCATTCTATGCAAACATCTTGTATGCACTCTTACCTTCAAATAGTAAACCAAAAGTTCATTGAGTGCAGGGTCTGCATTCAGGTTCACCAGGTAGCACTTGTCATCTCCAACCTTGATACCTGAAGACTCTAGGGAAATTCCCATGCTCTCTAGCTGTCTTTGTCTCTCCTGCAAGCACAAAAATAGATTAATCTTGGCTGCTGCAATACGTAGAGACAAGTATAGCAAGTAAATAAAAGTACAGCATCTAGAACTGAAGATTAACACACCCTTAGTATTCTTGTAACAGAAAAATAGAACTTAGGACAATGGTCAAGTATAATATTAACATAATTTTTATACACCAATAACAAAAGGTTAGACTTAATCCTCAAACACATGCTTTAATGATTATATCAGAGGTACTCAGGCATTACAGAGTGTGGATTTGAATCTCTATATTATTAAAAACTAATCTCAATTGCAGTGAAAATGAAGATAATAAGTCAGATAATTTTGGAAAGAGCATGTCGCAGTTTAGGCTTACAACTTTCCAGTATTATTATTAATGCAGATAAAGCATCTGCTTGGTTCAAACATGTCATTTGCTCTTCATTCATAGCTTTATCTTTTTTTTTGGCTGGTTTGGGTTTGGCCAGTGAGGTTCTGCATTTATTGTGTCTATTTAGCAGTGACTGCACCAAAGCATGCTTCTGGAACATTAAGACTAGAAAGAATAACCAACAGAAGTCACTCCTAAAACTATAGATGGTGGAAATGACAGAAAGATAACTGGAATCCCAAAGTCTTACTTCAAGTGTGATAATAACAAACAAATGTTAGTGAATACCTGGATTCATTTGCTTTCTCTGGTCAAGAAAACACTATAAGCAACAACAAATGTAAACAAACACAACCCAAAATTCCAATCCTTTTGTGATTCTTGGTTTTCTTAGCCATTCCAAGGGAAACTGTTCAAGATCCCACTGCGTTCTTATAAATAAAAGAACATCTCAAATGCATTTTCATGTTCTAATTTCAAATGAAATATTAGCCTTTATCAACTACACCATGATAAAACTACATTTATTCTAATGAAATTTAGACTGAAAGAAAATGGAGAGCAGAGAAAAGGAATACAGCATAGTTCACCAGAGCTCAAGAAATTCATCTGACTTGTACTCAATGAATATCTGACCTTTTCTCCTCAAAACTTCTGAAATACCTGTGCAATTTCTTCTGTTTTCCTCAGCTTTTCTTCCCAGGTAACTGTTAATTCTTTTATTAGCTTTTCAGACTCTTCCAATTTTTCCTTCAGTTCTGGTGCCTTCATGGCCTAAAAGATGGAGATTAGCAAATTCTTAAGGTACAGTTCACATTGCAACAGTTGCTTAAAAAAAGGGAAACTGAACACAGCCAACTGAATATCAAATGCTGTAGATACAGAATCGGTTTCAACTATTTTCCTGTGCATTTTGTGGCAGAATAAACAGGTCATTTGCAAAGGAAAAGGACAGAATAATAGAATATTTTGGGTCAGAAGGGACCTAGGCAGGGACACCTCTCGTTAGATCAGGTTGCTCAAAGCCCCATCCAACCTGGCCTTGAAAGCCTCCAGGAAGGAAGCATCCACAGCCTCTCTAGGCAACCTTTCCTAGTGTCTCACCACCCTCACAGTAAAGAATTTCTTCCTAATATATAGTATAAACATACTCTTCTTCCAGTTTAAAACCATTTCCCCTTGCCCTGTCACTACATGCCCTTACAAAAAGTCCCTCCCTAGATTTCTTACAGGCTCCCTTCAGGTACTGGAAGGCCATTATAAGGTCCCCCTGGAGCCTTTTCTTCTCCAAGTTGCAGAGCCCCAGCTCTCTCAGCCTGACCTCATAGGGGAGGTGCTCCAGCCCTCTGACCATCTTCACGGCCCTCCTATAGACCCACTCGAACAGCTCAATGCTCTTCCTTTGTTGGGACCCAAGAACTGGACACAGTACTCCAGGTGATGCCTCACCAGTGCAGAGTAGAGGGGCAGAATCACCTCCCTTGACTTGCTGGTCACACTTCTCTTGATGCAACCCAGGCTACAGTTGGCCTTCTGGGCTGCAAGTGCACTTTGCCAGCTCATGTTCAGTCCTTCATCTGATGACACTCTCAAATCCTTCTCTTTAAGAAATCACCCTATAACACATCCAGATTTGAAATAACTGAAGATCTACATAGTACTACATAGGCTAATGGAACTACACAGGCCAACAAAATCTGCAAGCCTGGCCACTCAAGCTTCACTGTCTGTATAAAAATACCAGAGTATTTCACTTAAGTCTCAGTTGTCTGAAGTTCAACTCCAAAGCCTTCCTTCCAATAATAGTTTTAAATACAAATTCCTCTTGATATTTAGCTTTCCATTCTATCTTGCTTTTGTAAGCGTTCCTAGAGTTTCTTTTAATCATTTAAGAATGACACCATTGATTACCTCTGAAGGAAGGCATGCACTGAAGCTAACACAGGCTTCTCATTTCACAATAGGAAAGAAAAGCAAGGGGGCTGAATATATTCCACTCCAAATAAGAGCTCAACATGCTGGCCGATAACTTCATGTGATTGTTTTCAATGGGAAGTTGAAGAGACAGAAGAAGAGAAAAAGCTTTAAAAAATTAGTAAAACTACAAGCAACTTCCTACTTTCCTGTTGGCAGCCACAGTCTGCCAACAAAATTAAGAGCCGACTAGAAGAATATTTTATTATTTAAAATACAGGATTACAATAGATTTTTTATTTAGAAAAAAAAAGTGAATGGTTCCTTTTCCATAAGGAAGTTTTCCTCATTTGATCCTGTAAGAGACTGCTTGTATAGACAACGTGACTTCTTACATGAATGTAAAGTTTAAACACCACTCAAATTTACCCTAAAACATACTTCTGGTATTCTTTTTCCCCCACAGCTATTATATGTTGCCAGAACATATTAGAAACGTTTTCCTATACTACAGTGCCCCATTTCTTCAGATATCACTGATGATTTATGCTCTGATTAGAACCGTATGTTTAGTATGTGCAGCAATCACATAGCATTAACTCTTCAGTCAATAGAATACTGCTGGTTTTGCAGTTTTAAAGATTCTTGATAAATTTTCACAAATGTCAGTGATAGAAATGTCCCACATATTTTGTCATCCTGTGCCAGATTTACATCATCTCATTTTTTTCATTCGGCATCATAAAAATATGTAGTCCACTAAGATGTTTAGAAATATCTGCTAGTAAGTATACACAATTAAGTTCTGCTGTAGCTCTTATCTGTGGTGCTTCCTTTACTACATGACACGAAGTTCTTCAAAAAGAACAGACTATTCTGACAAAGATCAACACCTGTACAATGTTGTCCTCATTTAAAGTTACTATAAAGAAACAAACATTATTTCAGGAAACAAGGTCA